AGATTACTTTTCCCCTCCAGGATTACTGTACTAATGCTCCTTTGGAATGAGGCTGACATTAGGTCAGTATCTCAATTCCTGGTCCTCTACACTACAGGTAGATTTGAGATGAGGAAAACAATTTTCAGGCCAACTTGCAAAACTGCCAGATAGGAAGTATGAATATCACAGAACTTGGTTAAATGTGAGTTAAAGGCTGCTGTGTATCTGCTTGTCCTGCCAGTTTCAATGGGAAAAGGACATGTCTGCTTCTCTTCCCCCTACCTCCTCCTTTTAATACTGTCTAGCATCCTTGAATTCAAGTACTACTGATAAACAACTAATTAGTCAGTCCTTTTAAACCAACAATGCAGACGAAAAATCCAGGTGACATAACTTCTCCATACAGTGATATGGAAGTACCATATTCCCATTTGCTTGAAGAGGACAAGTCCTTAAAACAGACACTGAATTATATTGTTACCTGAGCTTATTTTAATTAAAGAAATGGGCATTATAAAGTCTTAGAACATGGTACAGAGGACAGATGCTATACTAGCTTCCCAGTACAATCTAACTAAACTCTTTTGACTTTTATCTTATCTGTTCTTTTCTATCCTGATCTTCACTAGTGTAGTGTTCTAGTACAAACCTCATCATGCATTGTGTCCAAACCACATATTTACTCATTTCCTAGTTTTATTCAGCAGAAATACAGCCTTTGAGGAACAAGACACTGACCAAACCACTGCCTTTCTTCACTTAGGATATTCTGCTAACAGTGTTGTATGAGGGAGAGAAACATGTGAAGAACTAAAATAAGAGCCTGGAACAGGGAACATGAGGTACAGTGTCAATAAGGAAACAGTACACACATGCAAAGTTTTAACAAGAGCTGCCATTGTAGCACTTCAGAGGTGAGCAGGGAGGTGCTACCCTGCAGGAATTGAAATTCTGTTCTGATTACCTGACCTGCTTTAACAACTTCATCCTGAATTACCAAGCATTATAATAATAAAATGAAGACAATTAGCAGTCTAACTTAAATTGGCAAATAGAACAACTCTCCCTCTTCCCCAAGAAAATTATGATAAAGGAGAGTAGGCGAGTAGCAGGTTCTGGATATTTCCACCATTTACAGCTTTGAGTTAGAGCAGTACAAGGTTCCTTCTGCTATGATTCAGTTAACTGGTAAGGGGCAGAAGTGTCCTCTAGGGAAGGACACAACTGAGAATGATGCTGCTTCCCAGTCCTTTGTTGGTTTATGTGGAAGATCTTACAACATCAACATCTTTGCATTTTAGATTTTAATTCCTTTTTAAATAATGAGGGTCAGCCTTTCTGTCTGTAATCTAACCAGAAAGAGGGTCTCTAACAAGAAGAAAAGTATAGATTATTTTTAGTCAAAAAAGCAGTCCGTGTTACAGCACATCACTGCCTAACGTGGTCATGTTTACCAAAAAAAAAGAAATTTCAGAAAAGAAAAACTGGTTTCAAAAAGGGCTGGATGTATTCAAGAAATACCTTGCTGCAGTCTGCTGCATTCTTTTGTGCAACTAAGTAGGAACACGGTCATAGAGTCTGTTACTTGCAAATGTGTGCCCCTGTGTGTGTTCATGTAAGTACAAAGCTTTATTGCAGATTTTATGGAAACCTAGTATTTTAATCACTTCAACTACCTAATGTTTTCATAGGCATTCCTAAAGCAAGGTTCAAATGCTGAAGAACAGCTTAAATTAACTTTTGCTACAAAACTGGTTAAAATTATCAAAATGAAGGACTAAAAAAAGCAACTTAAAATAAGACACTGACCTCCCATTTATTCCAGTAGTTTGGGGAAAAAAAATTAGAAAATACCTCACATTTGAGTCTAGCTGCTGTTTGTGCAGTGATGACTGGATATTGGTCTACAATTCATGCTTGATGGAAATGCTGGTAAGGGATCAAAACCTCCTTCCTCACGAAATTGCCACCAGCATTCCACTGCTTTAACTTGTGGAAACCTTTGGGGTCTAAATGCAACCGCCCAGACCAGTTCAACCTCAGCATCTGTTATAGCTGGATAAGTCTTTGGTCCCTCCTTTCATCTTCTGTTAAAGAAACAGAAAACCTTGCAGCTCTTTAGCTAAGAAGAATTGCTGGAAATTGAGAATTGATTGTAGGCACAATTCTATCTGCCACTTTTGTATTCTGCTATAACAAGCAGCAGCTTTTCATGTACATTTCCACATCACTCTTATTAGTATTACCTCTTAGCAGTGTTTTGTTACCAAAATTGCTGTTAAAGTCAGTAACAAAAGCATTAATTGACTTATATCACTGCAGTAGCTTAGCAGAAGTGAGTGAATATATGCTAGAGAAAAAAAGTGTAGGCCCCTGAACTACTCTAACAGTAAAAATGTCCTTCCTATGTTAAACACTGTATACTGAAACCTTGCACAGACTTGCTGCACCAAAATCAAGTTCTTACTGCTGTACTTAAACAGATTTAAAAGTACTATGCAAGACTCAACTGTGTAAAATCTACTTCTTAACAAGGTTTCTACCCACAGCCTTTAAGCCACCTCAAATGTCTAATGAGATTCTATATTCTGTAAAATTGCCCATTAATATTTTCTTTCCTATTCTGTCCACACATTAACTTGATTTAAAATTAACCTTGGATTCATTCTTGAAACTGGAGGTTGTTTGTTGAGCTGTTTTTACTTTTTTTTTCTCTGAACTTGCATCAAGGTTTCTTTAACACTTCCCCTCCAACCCCACCCCCCACCTCAGTTCATGAACAAAGTTTGCTTAGTTGCAGCTTACGTTTGATATGGACTTGACACCACAGTACCGTATGTTCATATGAACATCTGATAACCTGTGAAACAGAAATCACATCTCCCAGTTTGTAAAGCATTAGCTACCTTCTCTCATAGTTGCAGAGACTAAATATATCACTTGCTTAAAAAAAGGAAAAGTTAAAATCCCTTTATTATCCTCATCTGTCCCTCCAGATCTATCTGAAGCCAAGTATTGGGGGTCTACATGTGCTAGCCCTCTTTGTGTACAAGCTCAAAAGCCTCTTCTCTTCCCCTCTGGCCCCCAGAAGAAACATGCACTTCAAGCTGTGAGCTAGGCCAGGCCAGTGTATTTGAGGTTCTGCTACAGAATAAACAGTTGTATCTTGCTCCTGTGAGAGTGAGAGCTTCAGGAGGCACTTCCAGTGCAGATCCTCTATAGTCACAATGAGCTTCTCCCTTTGGGCACACAAATGACACCAGGGTGCAAAGCTGATCACCTGTGAGAGCCGTTTGAGAAGTGTGAGACACAAAGAATAAATAATCCATTGCATCCTGTATTGTTTTAGAGAGGGAGGGATTGTCCTACTCCTCTCTTCCATGCAAGTGCTCAAGCTCTGTGTCTGTTGGAGGCAGGGGCTGCAGTGCTGATGGCAAAGGGCAAAGATGGCCAGGGCACAAGACAGCTGAAAAGGCTCAGAGGAAGGACTAATTATTTTATATTTTCATGACATGCATTTTGTTTTCAGCAAACTACCTTGTGCAATACAAACCTATCATCTAGGGATGCACACCCTGCTTCTGCAAAGTCTGTGAATTGCTAAGTAATGGACAAATGACTCTTACTGTAGAAAACTCATCCAAAAGGGTAAGCAGAGTTTTTTTTTTCCCCTCAATAGCATCTTGCTTGGTTAATTCCCATGGGCACCCTCCAAACAAGCACTGAGAGAAAAATGAATGTGGCCAAGTCTTTCTGAGAACACCAACAGTGTAATGCAGTGTAAAAGGGACTAATTGCCCAGGAGAAAGGGCAAAGCCTGATTTGCTGCTTTCAGCAGGCCTGAAAGAGATTTTGAAATATTTTCCTTCTATATGCATAGTTAATTAAGGCCAGCTGAAATGTCAAAAATATAAGAGTATAAACCAGAAGTAAAACATTTTCAGGTGACCTTTGAAAGTGAATTACAAGATAAGACCTTATCACTAGATTCTACTTTGATAACTGCCTTAATCAATGAGGGAATAATTTTTTCTTCTCAACTTTGCCATGAAATATGAATAGAGGCCATAGAAAAATTTCTTTGAATTATTATTATTACTACTACTTATTCTCCTTGAAGAATTATGGCTCATTGTTGTATCATGGCTAAACCTTGATTCATGTTTTTGAAAAGAAACAGCAACTTTAAAAGCCATGAAAAATCACTTGTACTTAATTACTTCCATGATCTGTTAGGTTATAAACACTGCTTCTAAAGGGAGAACTTTTTTACCAAATACAGGCCATGCATGTGGGCAGAATGGATGCTACAAAAAGGGTAGGAGTTCAGTACCTTTGTACAAGACTCTGTTTTAACAGAGTAGTCAAGAGGAATGACTAATCCGTTAGTCCTTATAGTTACAAAACACATCAAACTAGCATTGGGAGAGAAATGCTTTCATCTTTCAGGAAACAGCTCAATATTTCAACATGGTCTCTCTAAACATGAATTTGCTTTTTAAATTGTGTATCAATTTAAAAAAAAAAAAATCAGTAACCACAAACAAGTTAGCTCTGCTATTCCAGAGTCAACTATGTCAACACAGTTGTTCCTGAAAACTACACTGCTCCTTCCACCACTGACCATTTACATGACATCTCTTCTTGTCAAAAAGTTGAGCAGTTTGAAAGTACTACTATGCAAAATAAGACATGTATCTTTTGGGGGTTTTTTAACCAATGTAATCAGCTTAAATGCTATGGACTGGTGGTGAAAAAAGACCTTGTTCCTCAAGTGTTAATTTAATTTTCATGAATTCACCTAATTATTCAACTTTGCACCCTGATAACATTTGCTATTTTCAAATCCATTTCCTTCACTTGTTTACTGCATGTGTAATATCTTTTCTTGTTCAAAGCAGTCTGTTAGAGTCTGGGGTTAACCAACTTGGAACTCTTGTAGCAGGAACTCAAAATTGAGTGATGTAAGCAAGAAATAGAAATGCCAGAGCCACCGAAGAGAAGACATGCTGCATTGCTTACTTAAAGCCCCATCCTGTCCCCCCAAGGACAATAGCTGCTACCAGGATGGCACCAGCGATGGAGCCTATTATAAGATTGGTGGCACTAGGACCTGTGGTAAAGGATTAGGGTAAGACAGACATAAGAACCAACAACTTCATTCACATTATGTGAAGCATCTGAAGGGTAGTCAAACAATTCAGGGAATATGGACAGCACACAAGGTGACACCTCTAGACAGTCTCAACAAGCCCAACTTAACTTACTTTTCTTTAACAATACGAACAAACAAAGCTGTGGGTCTCTGCATTGTGCTATGCTGACTTCTACCATAGATAAAAACCTAGTATTAGACAGTGAATTCCATTGTAACTTACTCCATTATCTGCTTCATGAACACTCAGCTGAGAACACCAAGAGAGCTGTGAATAATTCCTTAACTTAGAGGGGAAAAGTATGAATGCTGTATGTTTTAAGACTACAGAAAATGAGAGAGAAATAAAAAATCAAAAAGCCCTCTCTTTTTTCATAGAGCTCCTGAAAGGTGTAGATATTTTAATATGAGTTGAGAGCATCTAGCACCACTTACTCTGAATCCAGACACCCTACAAGTTACATCAATGCTAAATTTACAATTGTTTGACAAAAGCAAAGGATTATATAATAGGGAACGAAAGTTGAAATAAAAGTTTATTTCCACTAAGCTTTCCAAACATCAAAGCACCTCTTCATCATCCTCAAGAAGCTATGAACAACAAAGTGGGGAAGGGTGGAGCAGAAAAAAGAGCAACAAAAAGAAGCAGCACAAAATACGTTCGTGCAATTTTCTGAAGAGGGCAAGAGAACACCTAAATAACATACTAAAAATTGACCCTTAAGTGCTCTGTTTACACAGGACAGAGGAAAACTGACAACAGGCTTGAGTAACATTTGCTCTGTACAAAAACTTCCTATTGCAGTCTTTGATGTAAAACCTTACAAAATGAAAGCAACTCAACAGTTCTGCAGCATGTCACACACTTTTTGTTTAACCATTTACATATTCAGCAATAGCCTTCAAAAACAGCTCTTACTGTTCCACTCTCCCCAAACCAACATTTCTACACAGCAATTGAAATGTTCCTAATTAATCGTTCTGAGCTGAGTTTGGAAAACTGTCACACAGCTAATACAAGGAAGAAAGAGGAGCAGCCAGAGAGCAGCAAAGAAAGAGCAAGGGCAGCTGCAACAACTGAAAGTTTTAAGCTGTTCGGTCGATACTACAAAACCTCCTGCCCAAGCCCACACACTGCAATAAACACTTGCCCTAAGTTTTAAAATTTACTGCAGCCACCTAACTTTATTGCCTCCAGTACATGTTTCTCACCTTAGTGCTTCTGGAGATTCTGATTAGCTATAAGGAAACCAAGTTTGGAAAATTGCTTCCTGCAGTTCCTACACAAAGAGTATTCAGGAATATGAATAAAATAGTTGGACTGAAGAAAAATATAATGAACTTTATAGGTGAGCAGTGCACAAATTTGACAACAAAAATCAAAAGGTAATTCTGCACAATTTGGAAGAAGGTATCTTATTTGGACTTACCTTTAAGTCACACCTGGCTCAAATGAACAGGCTTGAGCACAGTGGAGGGCAAGTGCCATCCTGCAGGCATTGTTGTTCCAATTAAGGCTTGCTTGTAACAGCAGCCTAATGAGCCACCATATCTGACTGAGATCTACTGTTTGCTCTGGATTTCATCAAATGATCTCACAGAACAAAAGACTGAAAACACAGCAAGTGATTTATCTGTAATAAATTTGCCTTGAAAATATAAAATAAATAAGCCTTGAAAAATTCTAAAGCCAATTTCTTCCTAGCTATAGAATGCCATCTTCTCACAAAAGAGGTGCAATGATTAATTGATAGTAACATAGCCATAAATTAGATAAAGATGTGCCAAATCAACTTTTACATCCCTCTTCTCACGATGTTCCCTGGTTGTTAAATGCCCAGGGATGTGTATCCATTTCATAGAGCACACCTAATCACCAAACACCAGTTTATTCTTTAAATAAAGAAAATCAGTATTGGTTTTATTTACTATAAATATTAAATAATTCAATCAATTTAAACAGAAGATACAATACTAAACAATCAGGCTCAGGTAATAGAGAAGTATAAATATAGAAAAAAATCAAGCCTGCAATAGGTAATACGACTAAACAGCAACCATTTATTTATGAGACTGGAGTACTCCAAGTGTTGAATCCCAGTTTCAACATACAGAGATCTAAGAGGATCACTGATGAGTCATACCTTACTGTAAGGATCTATGCCTTATGTTTTATTAAGCATTACCAAATAAATTGTATTATTAATAAACCAGAATTTTGCTACCAGTAAAAGGACGTTTACGAAGAAAAATAAAAATCCTTATGTTTCAGCTCAATAAACCTCTCCAGTCACTGAATTCAGATGCTTGACAAACCAGAAGTAAGAGGAAGGTCTTAATAACCACCACACTGTGGGATCATTTTCCATCCAGACTATCACGAGAGGCAACACTTTGGTACGTCGCTCTTTCCACCACACTACTGCTATAACTTGCAGACAGAGATTTATCAGGAGGAATCTCCTGCAGATAACTGCCTGGCACACCTCCTTTTCCTGCAAGGACACTGCTCTGGCATGGCTATTGTTCCATCCCTGGTCATCTTTTAGGACTCTGATACAAATCCTACTGAAGGTGTTAAATCACAACACACCTGAAACTTCAGCAGACTTCAGACTATTCCCAAAATCTTCATCATCCAATAGATTCTACAAGAACGAACACACACCATTTGAAACTCTGCCAGTATTAGAAAAGGCAAGTTTACTGCAGACTGTCCTGCAGGTAACAATAACTGGTGATCTGATGTCTTTTCTTGCCTGTTGCTTTGCCAGCCAAATCCTCTGGTTTAGGTTATCAAAGCTAAGTATCCATTTTGGTATGAAATCTGAAAAAAAAACTACTGCACTATTTTGTCCCACATGACTCCTGAAATAAGTTCATAAATCATTAAGTAATTAAAGTTATTTCAGCACTTTGAACATGCACTTACAATTTGGAAGTGAAGTGGTGAGGAAGCAGAAGGATAGGTCCTGGCATCAGGCTATGATGCTCACACCCTCCCCTGCAGCTGGTAATGGCCAGCCAGGCATTAGGAACACAGAGGGAATTTGCAGTCCCTGCATGCTTTCTATAAACCAACAAAAAGTAGCAGTGGCTTGCCTTGAATGCACATTTGTATCTGAAGAAACCAGAGGACAGAGAAATATTGATGAGATGCAGGAAAAAAGAATGAATAGAAACAAAAAGAATGAATCAGGAAGTGAGCGATAAAAGCAAAGGAGAGATGAAGAAAAGCTGGCATTGGTATAGAAGGATACAGGAGCAAGAACAAATGGTCAGGGACACTGGTCAGAGCTGAGTGGCTTGAGACAGCAGGTCTCAGGACAGCAGGAAGAGACAAACAGAAGAGAACAAGGCAGAATGTAAGCAAAAGGCAAGTGGTCCTCAACTTGTAGATAAATTTTCTACTCCGGAATCTGTCCCCCAAACCTCTACAACTTTCAGAGTCTTCAGTGTTAGCAAACAGTTGTAAAAGCTACCAGTAAAACACAGATCTGATCTTTCTCAAGGAAATGACCTATTACCTTCTTTCTTCTATTTGTTTTCTAATAATTGTCCTCTGTGAAGACAAAGGTCTCTACTCTTCTGAGAATCTTGGATCACTTTCATGCACAGACAGGTCCCTAGGGCTGCAGACTCAGACGCATGGAGCGCTGCCTCACTGGACTAGAGCTGTGTGTGAACGCCTTCGCACTCAGCCTGACTGGAAATCACAGACTCTCCTGCTAATGAGTCCCCCCTTCAGAGGGGTGCCACTGTCACATGCCAGATGTCATATATAGTACTAGAAACATGGAGAAGTTGGAACTCTCAGAGCAGCAAAACAGCAGTCATAACATCTGTAGTGTGCACAGTGAATGCAGAATGAAGACAGCTTTTACATGGGCCTTTTTATGTATATATATACATGAACACAAATTTATATAAATCAGAGCCATTGTTAAAATTGAGGTACTGGGATAACACTTAGGATTACCATTTTCTAGAACTATGAAAAGACAAAAATTGCTCATACATATTCTTTATACATGAATACTACACTCCAGCACTGTGCTACCTTTGGGTAACAGAATCCTAGCAACAGAACCTTCAGCAGCTTTACAGTAAAACTACCTGTCTGTATGACTATCACCAGCTTTCATCTGCCTACCTTGATCATTAGACTGAAAGCCCTGCATGTAATAGAACAGTTCACATTACTCAGTCTATTTTGCAAAAGAATCAAGAAATCCCTTTTTTTTCCTCCTTTTCAATTTTTTCTTTTTTTTGGTAATTTGGTGTAATGGAAACATTTAGTTTTTTTCCTCCTTTTCATTTTTTTTTTTTTTTTTGTAATTTGGTGTAATGGAAACATTTAAACATTTAATTTTATGGTGACAATGTAAAAATTCACAAACTTATTTTTTTATGCCCCACATTATCCCAGACAGGAGAAGGTTTAACACTGCATGAGCAAATCACACGACACAGACACAGTCAAATCACACGACAAATACGGTCACCACAGGACAAAGCTAAGGGGAACACAGAGGGCTCAGGTGCATACGGTTACCTCACACACTAAGGCACCAGACAGAGAACTCAAACTGAGAAAAGTGCTTACTCTATTCCCCACCCTGTGCCTCCAAAAATCACCCCCAAGGCCAGAATGGTCCCTGCCACTGCACCTATTAGCCTGTTAGCGGCCATGCTCACTGTGTGGAGGGAAAAGGGAAGAATTTTTCAGGAAATCATCACATATATGTCTGAAATGAAAACATGAAATAATTCCTCAAAGGAATACTTTACAATCCACTGTTGGATAAACAATTCAAATCTCCTCACAAACCTTTGTTTACCAAATAGCGTAGCTTTAAAAATTCTGAAATGAGCTCTATTTGGTTTTCTTTGAATGCTTGCAAACATTTAAGTAAGAAGTTTTCCTGTAAATTCCTTTCAGCTTGTGCTTCTATTATTTACTCTAAAAGGGAACTTATTTAAAACAGCCAAAATATAAATAAATTGCCAATAAACAAACTTTCTTTTTGATTACCAGAAACTTACTGTATCCATAATATAATTAAGAAAATGAAAACTGTTTGGAAACAATTCCACCTCAGAAAAAAACAAAACCCCCCAACTTTTAAAGTAATTCCTTTACTAATTAATAATATTTTTCTTTGTTACTGCATTTATCAATAGGACTCTCTATCTATATGACCTAAAGCAGGTAATACCTTTTAAAAGCAAAAACCTACCCTAGAAACATGCTTCAGGTAGAAATTTTGATATGTTCAGATAGTCTCTCAAGACACTGAGGCCTTACTTTTAATCCTTAAGGGAACACTTTTCAGGAAAAAATTCTGTACATCTCCTATGTTAGAGATTACAAGTTTGATAGGTTCATGGAGCCACAACGGACCACAAGCAAAGAGCTGAATTCCCTGTCAAATGGGAACTTAGGGACAAAGTTCCTATTTTATGGACTCCATGCTGAGTGAAGTGTGTTTTAAAATATTTTGGGGGTTTTTATCCTGTTTCATAACTATACACACACAAACACACACACACACTTGAGACATAAGTTCTATATTTAAATAAACAAACAGTACTCTGCTAGTCAAATAAAGGCCTAATTCTGCAAATTAAATTGCAGAGAAGAATCTCATGTGTATATGGAGTCCCACTGATTTAAAAACTGCTAACCCACACTCTAAACTGAGTTTCTGCAGTAACCAAAAACTAACAGCAAGAACTCTTTGTCTTCCCCAAACTGCTAAATGCTGTGTACATCTGCTAGTACAGGATACAGTAGGTTGCTGAGTTTAGAGTAATTAAAGAGTCATGTATTAATAGCAACATAATTAAGGACCACATATTTTTTTATCCTGAAGTAGAGAATGGAGCCAAAAAGCAATTGATGGATGATGGAAAAGTCTGAAAAGTGTAGCAGAATAGCAGTCAATTGTCACTTATCACAACAATACATTAAAAAATAGCAACACTCCCTAACTATACATGTTCTAATTGTAGCAAGAAAAATGCTTGGAGTTTTGGTGCGAAAAAGATTAAGCCTATTAGATGAATTTTCACATCATGAGTGTTTCACTTCATTCAACCTTATGGCTAAGGAAAAACAACTATTTTGGTTTCTGTCTTAGACTTGTAAATTGGCATATGACATAGGGAGTAAAAAAGGATAAAAACTTAATGGAAGCTACTCTTGCGTATGCTGAGTCATTACAACAAAGCAAAGTACTGCTGTACTCTTCTGAAATCTCACAAAGGAATTCCTCTATAAGCACACAGAAAGAGATCATAGTGTTCAGTCTCTTAAATTCATTTCTAGGTGATTCAACATCAATAAATTACTGTAACACTGTAAGAAAAATAATCCATCTTTTGAGATCATTGAGCCACCTTGAACAAAAGCACAGTCTGCCATTTTGCAGAGGACTCCACTGAAAAATGCAGTCTAAACTTTGCCTCTACCTGCTGGCAGAATTCCATGCACATACTATCCATTTAAGGCTTTTTCCCGCAATAATTCAACATTGATGTATTAATTTTCACTAGGGTATCTCCATTCTGAACTAGATGAGGCAATCTGACTTACAGTAATTTATCAAAAATAAGTGTACCTTCTGTGTTACCCTTCCTATAGACCTTTTCACAGAGGAGGGAATACTTTCTTACCTACCAGATTTAGAAATGAACAAAGTAAAATTCATATGCTCTCAGTCACAGCTGTAAATCCTGCTCTCCTCATCCACACACACAGAACTGAACAGCTCTGCAGTGTTAGTCTGTGGATAGATAGAATGTAAGAGAATACAGTAGTGAAGGTAATCTCACCCCTAAGGAGTTACAGCTGTGCTAATTATCAAGCATTAGGAACAGGCCTGCCCTTAACAGGTCACAGCTGGATCCAATTAGAATGGGTATTGTAAAAGAGCAGGTTGGCTGGTCAAGAAGGTTGGATGGAGGTTGCTGGCTGTGCGGAGAAGAAGGAGTCAGTGCTGTGAGGAGCTGCCCATGAGAAATCACCAAGAAGGTATGAAACCTTTGCAACGAGATGGCACCATTGATAGTTATTTTTTTTTTAAGACTCTCTAAGCAGCATTGCACTGTCAGGAAGGTTTTTAGAGGAAATGGAATGATAAGTGGCTTGTAAGGCAGGGTACAAACCAGGCAGCTCTACACTGAGCAATGCTGGGAACTGGGAGTCCAGGAAGCGCCTGTACAGATTTCCTATACAAATCTGGACTGGTCTACAGAGCCTCCTTCACAACAGTAACTTGTTTCAAGATGATCTCTTCAAACACTTCTTGGCAAAGGTCTACTGGAACCATTCTGCCAAGGGGTAACACAAAAAGGCACACAAGACAGATAGAGCCATTCCAGAGGGATATTCCAAAATCCTGTCCTTCCTTGACACCTTGGTACTTTCAGAGTAATCAATTACAGTCTGAGTCCTCAGGACCAGGTTTTTGAACAACTTTTATCTTTTCTCCATCTACCTTGCAAATGGAGCAGAAGAACCTGGAACTGGGGACTTTGTAAATGCGTAAGACTGAATAAATATAGTCTGATATTGAACAGTGCCCTGATGACAGGAAAGACATTAAAAAAAACCAAAACTGGACAGTACAAGTCCAAAGATATCCAAAGATATTCTTTGGCAGAGGAGTCGGAGAGAAACTCAAATACTTTCCTTCCTCTTTGAAAAAACTTTTGGATTATTTCCTCAATACCTCCTCCTTGTATTTGTACTTCATATATAGTTGAAATACATACCACGTACATAAGAGCAAGCACCAGTGATTGTAAGAATAATTTATCAAAAATCTTAATATTTTTATTCTTTCATTGCAATACAATTTCAAGGAATCTGATTTTACCAGGAACATTCCACTTTTCCCTTTTTTATACCACAATTCTCTGAATTAGTTGACTAAGAAAACTGAAAATCTCTAGTAAAATATAAATATTCAATTATCATATAAAAAAATAAGAGCTACACTAAGTCAGATTCCAATCACAACAAAAATTACCATTAAAAAATAGAGAATAAGGGACAAAGGAAAAAACATTACCTGTTGAAATCTTCCCCAAATTTAAGTTAGAAAAGTAAAAGTTTTATCAATTTTCAAAGTAGAAAAACCTATTTCCTCTACATGAAGCAGAATTTTACTGTCTGGGTCTAAACGCAGCTGTACAATATTATTTGCTTTTTATATGCTAATTCTGCTACCATGTATCAATAGAAAAACATCATAAATACTTAACATAAAAACTGAAACAAAACACAAACCCTTGGGTCCTTCATCCTTCTTGCCACCAGTATCCCTGACAGGGTCATCAATGCTGCAGTCTGTCCCAGCCCAGGAGAAATTACAAATGCAAGTGGCTTCATTGCTACAAACCTAGCAAAAAAAAAAAAAGAAAAAGTGACAGCACTTAATTTCTAACTACATTTTATTAACATATCACACTGCATTTATTTAATATGCAATTAGACATTTAATACATGGTATAAAACTTGCCTATTTGTATATTGTAACAATAACATTGAATGTTTGGAATGACACAACACTCCTGGAAGTTTGCCTCAACCCTCCTAATCTCAACCCCTCTCACATGCTGGGAGAAGCAGAACTGGTTCTATCATCACTGGCACACACCTGCACAGGCTGTGAAACATGACAGCAATTAGCTAGATTAGTTAGATCTTCACCAGCTATCTGGACTTTGAGCCTGGATGCCCAGAAGGGATACAAACATTTGCCTTTGAAAGGTTCAGGATATGGTTACACTTTCCAACCTCTCGTTTACAGCTCGCACCCATGTAGAACAAAGTCGATTTATTTTCTTTGGTTTTGTCAGCATTTTTCCTAAGCAGCAATGAGGAATGCTTGCCTGGCTTCTAAAAGAGAGGGAACAGTTCTTCCTCAGTTTACATTTACCTGAATGACCTCTAAAAAAGAACTCAGCACTCTAAAATTTGAAGTATATTTCTTAGACACAGAAAAACCTATCCAGTGGACAAAACCTAAACCATCATATCAATACTAAGACTTTGTTAGTTATAAACTAACAAAGTTAGCTATAAACTTTCCATATGAAAAAGAACATGGAATGGTGCTGCTAGAAGAGGTTACTGTGGAAAAATGCATGACACAAGAAACAGACATAAAGGATGAAGTTTTTATTATAGGACTAGAAACGAAGTCAATCATTGGACAAACAGCTAATAATGTCTTTGGACACTGGAACATCACGTGAAAAAAATCCAGGAAACAGCCTACCAACAAATGATTCTAAGTAACACATGTGATTTTTTAATTCAACTTTTATAATGCTCTGCTTTTAAGAAGCACTCACTGGAGAACCTTACCTAAGAACTTGAAGATAAACACATTTTATGGCAGGTTTGATCAACTGAAATACCCTTTTAAAATTAGGAACTGTAATAATCCAAAACAGAACAGGTAAGATAGTTCACTCACCCTTCATGTCACTCTCAAAAAGTACCAAGATGATTTCTAATCTCCTAGATTCAAATTCTTACTTGCAAATTTTAAAATTTTTATATTCTTGATTTTGAACCTAACCTTCTACTTTGAAACACTCAATTTTATTTTCAAGCATAGACAACAAGAAGAAATAACCCCTTCTCGTACAGTCTAGCCCTTTAGGCAAGTATGTGTCTCACTGAATCCCACAGTGGAAAGGTTTTATTGGTATTTAAAACAGTGATCTGTTCATCAAAACAGACGTAACATCTTAGACAAATGAACTTGTAGGTAGAATAACAGAACATAATGTGCCTGAATGTAAATTGATACACCTTGGATCTGTTCAACAACTGTTTGGAACTGTTCAAGACCTCCCTCTCTGCTGAGGACCCACAGTTTGGAATTTTAATTATTTAAGCCATGGGCTATAAATCTATGAACACAAGACCAACTTCATAAAGGTGTTAGTGGGCAGGAAAAAGTTTAATTCAAGATGGCAAGTAGCTTGAAATGTGGGTAGTACATTACAGAAGTCCTTCCAATAACTAATGTCAAAGGTCTTTCTTGCTGCTTACAAACCCGACTCTTTGGATATAACTGCAGAACCAATTTGAGAAGTTTCCTTTCTAAATTTTTTTTATGCATCACAAAATGGCAGTCTTCCCCTGAATCCAACATTTGTAGTTTCACATCAAAAGGTCTCAGGAAGACTTTCAGATGTTAGGATCAGGTAGAGCAGAGAGAGCTGGGGAAGCTGTGCTGCTCACCCCCAGTACAGACTCACCCCATGACCAGAACAGACTTTTCCATTGGAACCAATGGGACAGCTGCTTATGTTCAAGGACTGAATTGGCAGGCACTTTTTGTCCAGACACATCATCTGAGGTCCACATGGAGCTCCATCCTCCACATAACCTAAATCCGTATCATCATCTAAAAGAACATGAGCACCACTAGGAGAAATAAGTTTTAAGACAGTATTAGTATTATGACTGGAATCCTTTGAAAATATTAAAAGCATGTTGGTGTAGACACTGAAAGCCCCACACCATTCTTTCATTCAGACAGACTGAACAAAACTGTAGAGTTTTTCTGTCTGTCCACAGCAAAGACAGTGTTCCAGTTGTCAAAATAAAAATAAGTCTAGATTAGAACTTAAATACTCAAGAAGGGCACCTCAGTCTTTGGGGATTTTTAAGTCTCTGACAGATAATTTTCCTCTTTTTTTTTTTTTTTTTTTCCCCCAAATGCTGTGAAATATTATTGCTTGAAAAAAAATACTAAAAAACTAACTTCCCATGTGATTTAAATAAAACCACAAGTGGAATAATGGAAGAATTAAGAACCACTGTTCACTCAGGAGCCAACTATGTAAGAGTGTTCTCAGGGTGACAAAAACTGCAATGTTGCCAATGTCTTCAAAATACAAACCCAGTATTGTGCACAGACCCAGCAGTGCAGCAGACTGAAAACTCATTTACCTGTTCTTTAAGTGAACTGTAGCTGAACATCTTACCCTGCCACAACTCTGCAGCTTCCTCCTTCTCAGCCCTCACTTCACTACAGCTGTGTCTTTGAGTATTTAACACTCAAAATCATTATATTTAAAATACAGGTCTTTGGCAATCACAGACTTTCTCCACCCCCAGAAAAACATAATGCTGAGCATTAAGTTCTGACTGATGTTCTGCTACTGGAACAGGGATCAAGCAGAAGATTCAGGAGTATAACCCCCATTTTACCCTCTTTAAATGTGGAATATCAGGCTTTTTATGGTTTGGGGATATTTTTTAATCAAAAGAAATACTCAGAATAATGATTTTGCTGCAATTACCTAAAATTCACAGACTCTCATATTTATGTCTCTCTTGATTCAATTAGGTTTGACAGAGATAAATCATGTTGGAATACTGCATTATCTTTTACCTGCAGTCCACTATGCGTCCTTGATGATAAAAAGAATTTGGGATAATTTCTCCTTGAACTTGACCAACTCGTGGAACTCGAGTGAGATTAGTACAGAGCAAAAAGCCACAGAAAACATCACTGGAAAATGAAAACAAAAATCAGAATATTACTGGAATAATATGAAGTAAACTTACAAAAAAAAGAGTCTGGCAATGGTGCTGCTGATCACAGTAATATATTACCATAAGCCATATGACAGACTTTCAGAATGCAAGCCTGGAAATAAAATATTATTTAAATGACAAAAGGCAGAAACAAGTCATCATTCATTCCAATGCACCAGTGAACGCTCACATGAGCACAGAATGTATCTGTGCTCTAAGAACAATCCAGAACAAGTAAGAGGAGCCAAACTGCACAAAGCTTTGTCAAGTTAGGCTGAATTGCTTTTCTCTCTCTCTGGCAGCTTACACACCATACGTTAATGTCATGTTTGAAATCTTCATTGCATTTTATTTCCCTTACAGGACAACAGAACCCTAACAAAAATTTTTAGTGTGAAGTTGTGTGTGCCCAAGTTTTGGTAAAGAATCTTCTTTTTTAATGTTATTTTATACATGCATATATTTAAATATATTTTATTATAATATATACAACATATCTTCTTTATCTTCAATAGAAGGACGTTAACTAACACTGATTGTCCTAAGTCACAGAAGCAGGTGAATGAATGCTGGAAATTGACTTTGTTAAAACTGAAAAGAACATAAATAGCCCTTCAGCCAGAGCACTGTCCTGCATCTCTCTACCAACAAAGAAAAGCTTTTACAGAAATGAGGGGTTTAATATACACATTAGAACACAACTAGCCTCATCTAAATTAAACAACTCCTTTTCTTATGATCCTATCTGAAAACTAATAATATTAAAAAAATCCACTATGCAAACATCAAATAGTCAAAGAAGGAAAATGCTATTCCAAAACTGAAATTTGTATGTACATAATTAAAAATTACAAAGCAGAAGTAAATCAGGAGAAATTTAAGTCTATCTACTAATGATCATTAACTTGAAAAGTAAATTTAATCAAACATTCATCTGGTAATGATCACATGGAAATGAATCAGGCCTTTTCTCTAAAAAATCCAAATGTCTAATGGTCCTCTCTGGTCAAAATAAAGATTGGAACAAACTTGAAACAGCATAATCTGGTGTCAGTCCCAGAGCAAGTGAACAGAATGTGTCTATTTGCAGCCTAATTTATCCCTGCCAAGGCTGAGGTATTTTTTTTGTTATGAACTTGTGACTTTTTGCTGTCTTGTCCCTCAGCTACTCTGAAATAATTGAAGTCACAGTATATTCTTCTGAAAATCTAGAATTATTTACAAGTCTATTGCTGAGTCACTTATAGATTTGTCAGAGTGCAAGTTTTTCAAGATGCAAATCTCATGACGGAAAAGAGATTCAAAATAAAGCAAAAGAAGCTGCAGAAACATGCATGAAAAAGTAGAAAAAGTAGAGCCATTACCAATCTATTTAAATTACAAATAATCTCTACCAAGCTGAACTTACTGTTTGCTGCACTGAATCCATCGGTCTCCATCCTTTCCACAGTTTCCTTTTGTTGTGCCTTCTGTATTAAGCTTTTCATAACAAAATTTGTCAGATCCTGAAGACTCTGTTGATGAAGGAAAAAGAAACATGTTTTTCACTAGCAACATGACAGCTTTGAAACCTGCATAATTTATTGCAGCCATTCTCTGTAATTTTTTTAATACAAAACATCAATTTAAATACACATGTATGTGCGCAGATGGTATTTTCCAGTGACTAAAAGGGAGAACACACTAAACTGAAATACCTACTGATACGTTCAAAATTTGCTCTGAACTTCTAAAAGTAGCCTCCATGGTGTCTGTATTGTATTCTGCATATGAAATTTATCTGTGGTAATTTTGTTTGCTTCATAACAGTTGCACGTAGATTTAATCTAGTTGTTTTTCATTGCTATTTTTCCTGATCTGCATTTCAGAAAATTTTATATAGGACATTTATGATAAGCATATGTTCTGACATCAACTCAATGTTGATTTTATTCTATTTTTCAGATGTTCACAGGAAACCAATCTTGAACAGAGTGTAATTTTTACTTATTTTTAGCAGTAAAATTCTGAACTAATAGGATTTAAAGCCATAATTATTTACTGATGAGCTCATTTGTTTTTTCTAAAAATTAATCTAAAAAAAGAAAATAGAAAAGCACAACAATTATATAGAGGAAGATAAAATACTAAGACAGAGTGGCCCCAGTGGCAGTTATGATTAGACAAAATGCACAAGAACACACTAAATGCCAGAGCACCGGACGTCCTGGTAATTCTCTGCTGAATTGTCTCCAAGTCCTTACACAGAACATTCAGCCCCCCTCTGCTGCAAGCAAAGCCCATTGCAATTGCAATTCTGTTTAACTCAACACTTCTGGACTTAAATCCATACTATGCATATTTAAGTTCACACCAATGTACTAACTTTCCTGACTTGGAGAATTGTATAGAAAGGAGAGGCAAGGTGGAGCAGCTTTGGCATGAACCACTGATGGGATAATGGAACTGGTGACTGTCATTAAAGAAAAGCCAAAAAATCCTCAACCCCCTCCCCCCAGCAGCATTTGCTGCCTGCCCTACCCAGATCTGCAGCCACATCATCGCTCTCACTGACACCACTCCCAGATGCAGAATTCCACTTGGCAAGCAAGCCATTTTCCCACTGCAGGCTACTCACTCTACTGATCAGAAAACTTCAGCTTGTAGTGACAAGAACAAAAAAAAACCCAAAAAAACACGAAAAATCCAAAGCAAAAGCAGGCATGAACTAGAAATAAAATACATTTAAGGAAGTTAAAGTCAACCTACTAGATCCCCAGATATATTTGCACTGATTATCTCTTGTCTTGCATTCACCATTATAGCAACGACCCTAAACAAAATACAACATGTTAGGAATGAGAACTGAAAACAACTTCATCTCCTTCCCCTCTCACAACAAATGTCTCATTTTCACCCTTCAGATGCATGTTGGGATGTAGGCTCCATGAATTTGGGTAGATCAAGTACACATTTTGGCCCAGATTCCCAAAGCCAGTTTGTGTCCAATACATACTGACATTTAAGCAGTTGGAAGGAACATCGTTGGAAAGAACTTAACATGGAGTGTAATAAAATATCTACATATTAAATGTAGAGATACCAAGTGGATTTCACTCTAAGTAGATATTATTACTATTCATAGAGTGCATAGAACACAAGCAACATTAATGTTTAAAGGATAAAATTTATGAAGAAATATGGAACACAGGATTTTTAAAAATCAATACCAAAACAAAACAAGAATGTGTATTTAGCTGATTTCTATTTGCTGATGTGCAGGGATTTTAAAACATTGCATACCTGATTAGAATCACAGGCATACCCATCTTGTTTATGAAGATTTGGTGGACACTGAAAAAAATTAAGAATATTTTTTGTCATGTGTACTGTAATAATACATCAGAGTATCACATATGGAATTTTCCTACTTTTAAGAAAATTGGACAACATGTAGAGGGGGTTGAAAACACAATTAGTGCAATAATCTTCATAGCTACAAATAGAAATGAAAAAATTAATATCTCGATCCATTTAATACAACGTTCAAATCTAACTTCCTGCATATTCCAAGAAGAAATTAAGGAGGTGAGACAAAATGAAAGCGAATGTGTTCAGTAAGAGGATATTTGGTAGCTAATACTGGGGCCACATTTGCTGCACTGCCACAACATGCATTTCAGTTCCACTACAACAGTGAGGGAGCACCGGGTCACAGCCTAGCAGGCTATTCCTTACACAGCTTCAGGGGGCTTAATGATCGTAATTGTTATGTTCCCTTGGCACTGGAAATTCTTTTGTACAAACAAATCGCTCGGTCTAGAAACCTCAGACTATTAAAGTTTTGGTATTAAACCATTCTTAAGGTTTTTCCTCATCTAAAAGGGACCTGTGAAAATTTGGAAAGAGAATGCTGCTGCACTGGACTGTGTTAGCCAGTACTCTGAGGGCAGCTTGAGAAAGCCCTTCTCTCTCTCGTTAAGAATGCTCCACCTACACAGTAAAAGATTTACATTAAAGTTTTGGCAATAGCTACTTGTCTATGTATTGATGTCTCAGATGATAAAATTAAAGGAAGTAATTGGTAATTTATTGGCAATTTTAACTACAGCCAATGCCCAAAGAGATTGTGATTTGTCCTGAATCTCATTTCTTCAAGTTATGAAGTTCTTATATAAACAGAATAAATATATAAACATTCAATATTGAAAAGGAGTATATGTCACCTAAAACATCAAAGTTGCTGTGAAAATGGAAAACATACAGGATGTTGACCATTTAAAAGAAATCAAATTCAAACAATATTCTGGTTGTTGTTTATTCCCATATTTTATATTAGCCATGTTTTCAGGACAATGCATTAGATCCTCAACTTTTAAAATTCTCATACATGTGCACACTCTTAGAAAACATAAGACACTTTATACAAGTCTTACAAGGAGCAGTTCAGGGATCTGGGGTTGTTTAGCCTGGACAAGAGGAGGTTCAGAGGGGACCTTCTCACCCTCTACAATTCCCTGAAAGGAGGTTATGGAGGTCATAGAGGTCAGCCTCTTCTGCTCAGGTAAGAAATGCCAGGATGAGAGGAAATGGCCTTAAGTTGTGCTGGATATTAGGAAAAATATTAGGTTTAGGCTGGATATTAGGAAAAACTTCTTCACAACAAGGGTTGTCAAGCATTGGAAAAGGCTGCCCAGAGACACAGGAAAATCTCCATCCCTAGAGGTATGTAAGAGACGTGTAGATGCAGCATTTAGGGACATGGTTTAGTGGTGCAGTTGGCAGTGCTGGGTTCATGGTTGCACTCAATCTAAAAGGTCTTTTCCAACCTGAATGATTCTATGTTTCTATATTCCTTTAGTTGTAATTTTTTACAATTATATTTTAAGCCATTTTATCTCATAAAATCTTAGTGTTATTACCTTTGAATACATTCACATTTGCAGTGTATTCTTATTATTTAAGTTATAGACCAGGCAAAGAGTAAAGAAGGATGCCTGACACAAATATTATACACAAAACCCCAAGACTTATAAAAACCAAATAAACCTAGAGAAGTAATCTTTTGAGTCCACTTAGATTATTGCTTTCATGAGTTTACAATAGTTTACACTCCATTATTACATCATCATTTTGGCCATATGACTGTGCAGTCTGTTAATACAATTTTCCTCTTAAATGAATACAAGAAAAAGACTGCAAACAAACATCAGCAGTGCAAGCAGAGAACATTTCTGCACACATACCTGTCCAGAATCCCCAGTGCAGAACTCTGCAATGTCACACTCGTTCACTGCGTATCGACAGTCATAACCTCGTGGGAAAAACTAGAAAATTAAAAACATAGTTCAGCACTGGGAATACATCTACATAAGCTGCTTCTACCTGAAACACACTCTGAACTTTAACAGGCTGTTTGTCTCCTTTTATTCCACAAACAGTCACTAACATGACTTGACTGCCATGGACAGCTGAAAAGAGCGACTGATATATGGCAGCAACACTCACAAGACACGACGTATTGCAGCAGGGTCCATCACTACAGTGAGCTCCATTAGAAAGAGAGCACTTCTTACAACAGTCTGCATAGCATTCCTGAGGAAAAAAATAAGCAAAAAGTGTAGTTTTCCATTTTAAACAAGTTTTTTTTCCTTCATAATCTTTCCAACATCCAATTATTATGTACCAGCGGACAAAAGATTCAGCTTAGCACTGAGCACTGATGATTTGAAATTATCAGCTGGAAGAAGCCTTTGCAGTACTCAAATACTAAATGGGAAACAGTGACATACAATGCTACAGCAACACAGGGATTCACACCTTCTGAGGCCTGCGCCAAATTTATGCTGCTTAGTTCAATAGTATTCAATGCAGAAAAAAACTCCCAACCTAATTACAAGTGCAATTATATTTAAATACTAGAACGAGAACTCAAATCTGGAGGGCAGATTTTTGCAAAAACATTATTGGACTATTTCTGCAATACAGAAGAAAACAAAAGTTACTTGTTCTGTCTGAAAACAGGCACCAATCTCCAAAGTATCAGTGAGGAGTCTCCCACTCCACATATGCTATTCAGGAAAAGCAAAGAGGTAAGCACTTGTCCAGTGCAACTGAGAAACTGCTGGGAAACAGCTGTATCTTGTCATTGGTGTAACAGGAACTGTTCAGAGGACACTGTCTTTGCATTCATTGTCATTTGAAAAAATGTTTTAACACAGGCTTTTAACAAAATTGTTTCCAAACAACAGGCAAAACAAATTCATTTCCATAACCTTTCCCCCCTCTCTTACCAGTCACTTAATTTATCTTAATAAATTTCATAAGAAAGAGTCATGGAGCAATTGATAACTCTACTTACCATTCGGAAACCACAATCACATTCTTCTCCTGCTTCTACAAATCCATTTCCACACTCAGTGGCTTCAAAGAGCTAAAAGAAAAAAGCCCCCATCCCAAAGTAAGAATAAAACTAGTGTTAAGTGACTTCCGTGTTACACACAACCCATTTCTGCAATGCTACACAAATGTGCTGTCTCAGACAATGCAGCTGCCATGCCATCAAAAACATGATAAATAGAGACACTACAATAACATTTAAGGGAATGACATTTGAACTTCATTCCTGTTCCATGGACTCCCAGTATTCTGTCAATTCCTTCAAGAAATCGGTCTACAATGTCATTCTTGGGATTTGCTCAGGTAACCACACTTGCTCATGCAATGAGCTACTGTCTGTTCCTGTGCAACGCTTGTGCATGAAAATAATAAATAGAAAGAAATGCTGCCAAAAGGAAGTCCTATGTGCCTTATTAGTAAGTTATACACAACCACATACAGAGACTACTAAACAGCTAATCCTAGAACCAGATACATACAATGCAGATAAATTCTGCAGCTCAGGATGATGCAGATTCTATAGTGGTTTCACACATTCTAATTTTGATTAAAGGTACTTTTCAGTCTTGTCACAGAAATAATTCTGTAAGCAGCTTGTCTGTTTTCAACATAATTCTGCTTTAAAATAATATAGGAATATCAGGCATCACCAATTTAATTGGAATATTAGCAGGAGAAAGACATCCACTACCACATGCTTGAAATGACAAGTTAGAAGTTACCAAGTTAAAATGTGAACAGATTAATCTAAGGGTGAAAGATGTGAGCAAACCTTTCGGCACGGGCTTAGTGGAAGTAAAGCTATGGAGAACCAGCAAGATATGAAACACTGTATATAATACAATACAAATTATATATATATAAACTTGTATGGAATTCTTCTTTGGTGGTTTTGGTTGGGGCAGGGGGGAATTATAATGCCTAGTAAAAAAGAAATACAACATTTCACTTTTGTTGTATTGACCACATAGTTAATCAACAGCACCTACAATTTTGGCTGTCAGAAGCAAAACAATAGTGAAGAAATATCCATATGTGCTCTTCTTCACCAGTAATGTTGACAGGATTAAATAAAGCATTCAATTTTTTTCCCCCCCTCTGTAAGCTTCTGTCTCTACTACACTTAGGTGCAAACAGCAAGATCTCTTACTCTGAAACTGAAATTCATTTCTCTATCAAACAAGAAAACTACAGAACACAAGCAGGCACACACAAATTTCCTATGGCAATCAGGAGCCATTTAATGTTCATATACATGTCAGAGCATAACTTAGGATATAATTTTAAAAATGGCATCATGGTGACTGCTTAACAACTCTGTTTTACTTACCAAAAGATTAAACACACAATTTTCTACCTTACCTCCTGACCTCTAAATAAAAGCATTCTAAACATTGTATGACTATTTTTCCCTCCCAATGTACTTTAAAGCTGTGAAGCACTGGCACAGATAATATATAAAGATAATTCAACCATTTCCCCATGAGCCTTTCCCCCAAAATAAATCCGATTTTTATTCTGTCAAATTGAGTCAAATTGACAACTTCACATTACTTTGCAAAACTGAAGCTGTGCTTTTCTATTTCCCTACTTATTCATTTGTGTAAGAATTCTTGCATTCTTACTCCATAAGCAAAGATTGCTACCCTGGGAAAAGATTCAAAAGATTCACTTGAACAAGCAAAATTTTTTTTTAGTTAATTGTGCAAGGTGATGGTCCACCAAAGGGTATAGCATAGTAAACAGAACAGCCTAATAGCCTCATGTGGTATTAAATTCTACAAGGACAGCAGTTTGACACTATGATTAAATAGAATATTAATGCTTTGGATTGCTCTTACTTGGCAAAAAGAGCCACATGGAATATTTTTATACTGCTCAGCTATACAGAGATGTCAGGCTAACATTGTCTTAGAAAAAATTATGACCTTGGTGAGGTTTTAGGCAAAAAAGCAATGGTAGAAGGAAACATCTATGAATTATAGTTTGCTAGACGTATATTTGAAATGAAATTAAGCTAATGTTGAGAACAACCAAAAGTTACTACTGTCTATATGAAATCAGCTATGGATTTCTATTTCCCAATGTGGTATCTGGCATTCTTTTTAACAACCTCAGACAGAAAGTCCAAGAATTGAGTATAGGTGGAGTGTACACTTCTGGATTTATTTTGCACTACTTCCAGCTTAATAAGAAGTGCATTTATGCTGAATGTGACATTTATCATTATTTGAGTATGAAGAATTATGGAAATCAAGTTGCATTCCTCTCAATATTATTTTAAAATGCTAAGGGGCTGAACAGCTAATTACAACCTCAAGAAAATACCCACACAGATATCGGAATAAATTTGAGAACAGATGATGTCAGTAAAATCATTACATTTTCATTACAAATAGCAATAGTGTAGCAGATGTCCTGACTACCAACTTATTTATTACCTTTGTTGGCCTGTTAAAAAGGCAGGCACCTCCCCCACGAAGTAAAAATTCTTTGTATTCTGCAATGCTGCATTTGGAGAATTTCCTGGAATGGTATACCCTAAAATGGCAAAGAATTAGGTGAGTAAATGCCTTGAAACACCATCAGCTACTGGAAAGGGGCAAAGGGGTCACAACTTTTTTTTAAATACTGTAAATCCCAGTTTCTTACAACCACTGTATGCAACAGTATGACAGCTCAGTCTCATTCTCAAATCACAAAATCAGAACAAAAGAAAAATTTTAAAATGTTTTGCCTTTTTTATATTTCTTCTTTATGTACAGTATATGAAACTGTAGGTTTTAAACTTCTTAATAAGGTAAACCCACATTATCATAGTAGCTGCTATTCACCCTTTCTATTGTATGCATAATCCAGTATCCTCTCAGGTTTTTTTTAACACCTACAAGATGCTACAAGAAGTTTCACAGCTTAATACAGACTGGTAGAAGAACAATTTCATCCCATTTTCGTCTGTCATATTTGCTAATCTCTTTTCATGTCTCCCTAATTCTTATACTAGAAGAAAGAGTAATTATTTTTGCATAATGTTACAGATTTCTCTCATATTTCCTCAATGCAATCTTTTTCCCAGACTATTAAAAATGTACAATCAAAACTATTACAAAGTATTACAAAGTATAAAAGCACACTACAACCCTTTAGTAGTAATTTCTCGCTCAGAAATTGTCTGATATGTTTATTAGTCATGTTTTGAGATCTGGAAATGAGATCTATTCACACTATAAAAGTTGGGGTAACCATGCCATAAGGAGGTTCGCCATTCCTTTCCTAACAGCTCACTGCCACTGAGCTATTTCCCCACTGAATTATTCCATACAGAAAAAATGTCTCCTGATACTGATGGAGTTAAGTGAGAAGGCTTTAAAGTGCAGCTAATTATTCACTCATTTCATTAGTCAATCCTTTATCAGCTTCTACATGACCATCCTCTGCTCCTGGATTTTTTTTTTGTTTACTGTTAACCTTTTTTACAGAAGAGGCTTATTCCACAGCCTCTTCTTCTGATATTTCCATCCAAGATCAATACTTTGATCAGTTCACCATATGAAGGAATGCAGTATCTATTCTGATCAATGCTTTACCTCGGATTCCAGAAGCAAACTTATGGAATGATTTTCTGCTGCACTCCTACAGTGGCTGGCAATTACAAGTCTGCAGGGAAGCCACAAGTAACTCTACTGAAGAACTAAGCTCCTTCAGTCTTATTTGTAACTAATTTTCTCTATGATTTTTGCAATCAAGCTTCCACAATGAGCAAGATACTGACAGGAAGTGATTTGTAAGACTCAAACCCCTATATTTCAGAAGTTATTCTCTTCTAATCAATTACTTACAGTATAGAGAAAAGAATCTTTGGCAGTGTGTGAGGGTGGAGGGCAATGAAGTTCCTCCCATATAGATGTGTCTCCCCTTCAGACTTCACTGACCATTTATTTACCCAAGGACTGAGTTCCAACTGTTTCTAGTTTTTCGTTTATTAGCGCTAAAACACATGGATAAAACTGAATGCATAAGAATTTCTGCCATAATGTAAACTATGAACTCATTCCAGAGCCCTCAATTACTGATATTTATGACATACCCTGTTTCCTCCATGATGCAACCACCCCAGGATTCAGTGCAGTCACACTCTTCTCAGACAAGACCAAAATACAACAGAAAAGGAGAGAAGTTATAAATATGCTTACAATAAATATAAAGTACTACAAAAATGGAGCTTGACTAATTATACACAGATTTTGATGGTTGCTTGGCTGTACAAACTCTAGCCCCAAAAAGGAAACCAGCCCACTTGAAGACATACTAATACCTTCAATAAATACAATACTTTCAGATTACCATATCTGCAGGTTCTGCAGACTCAACAAAATTTCAGGCACTACACAAAGCTAAAAATAGTTGGCAAGGTTCTTCCCTCCGTGCTCTCAAAATAGGCAGCACAAGGCTGTCTGCAGCACACATAATATTGATGATTTTAAATGTTAAACTAACACCTTTTGTTTAAATGTTTAAATTTTCTCCTCCCTAAAAATACAGAATATCCTGAAAGAGGATTGTTACTGGACAGGCCAGCCTTTTTCCATTTGGCATAAAATTATTAACAGTAATATGTCAATCAGCCAATCAAACATTCATTCGAAAAAGTAGTTGAATGAAAATGGATTTACAGTTTACTTACAGCTATAGCACGTAAGTCAACAGTGACCAAACTCATAACATAAAAACAAAAGATCAGCACATTATGGTTGGTAAAACAGAAGCTGCAAACTGCCCATAAAATTATCTACCAAAGGTAGATGCACTGTAGTTACTACTGGAAATCCAGTTTCTCCGTGGAAAATATCCAAAGATCATTTTTGTGGCTATTTCTACTCTCCCCAGGTCTTTCTTTAGTCTTTCCCTATAAAGGGCATCCAAATAAGGACACTAAGCTATCATATCAAAAACCTCTATTTTTCAGTTAAAAAATATTCTGAGTTCCAAATTGTTTGAACTCTGTTTTACCTGTAAAACAATTATATAGAAAATAGTTTAGCAATTTGCTAGTTTACACAATTCAAAAGCAATGCTTTACAAAACAATATTCCTAAGCATGGTTTCCCAATTCGCAGATTTTTGAAGTGATTCCACAGTAAAGTCAACATTATCATTCACATTTTTTAAGAGGAAACAAAGAGAGCAGGTAGCCAAACTCCTTACACAATGCAAGTGAAAACCAAGCAATTTTCTTTAGCCCTGAAAAAGGGTTTGCAGCAGTTTTTGTACCAACACTACAGCTGTTAAGGTAACACAAATCTGGTCTGACTGTGAAGCAGCAAGATAACGAGTTGAGCAAATGTCACACTGGACTAGGTTACAACTCCTTACCATTTCTTTAGTTGTAAATCAGGTATTTTTGCATTTCAAGAAGTCAGCAATTGTTCTATTGCATTCACAGATTTCATGATGATAGAAAATGAGTTCTAAATTAAATGAATTAATGGTGCTTTTATCAATATACCTTTGAATATTGGTTATGAATCTAACCTCAACACAGGACATCACTGAGGTCATGCAAAATGTCACTAGACTGGAGGCTCTTATTTTGGTGAGGCTGAAATTTCACTACATACATTTCCAAAAGCAGCAATTCCTGTTCTATAGTTACAGCAATTTTGGCATTTCTTTCAAACACAATAAAAGAAGTGTTTGTATGTAGCTAAGGAAGACAAAAGACTCCATGTACATACTCGGCTTCCTGGCAGCTGGCTCCCATTGTATTCCAAGATTCTGAGCAAGACTCTGTGCTAGTTCCTGTGCCATGGGCAAAGGGAGGCCGTACTGCATTCCAAGAGAAGCACAATTATAAAAAACAAAAACCCATTAGTTATTGCAATGAACACTACACTGGCTCATTCTGCCCTACCACATACCTACTACTTCAATAATTCAGTGCAGTCAATCACAATTCTGTGTGCATATAAAGAAAATAAACTCAATAAAGTATGTAACAGATAAAATATTCCTCTCCTAATCTCAGGCAATCTCTCCCCACTGTTAATCTAAAGAAAGAAATTTATTTGCTATATATGCAATACAGTTTTGTAATAATAGGATTTAACCCATGTAAAAACAGAAGAATTTCATTATCAATTTAACACTGCACTGAGGAAAAAACCCAAACAATAGCAGTAAAAAATCAATACACAGGGACAATTTGTTTTATAATTTCAATGTCAAAAAATTTCAGGAAGAATTACATGCCATTGGTACCTCAGAAGATCAAGTGTCTTACAATGGTAAAACACAGATATTCAGTGCTGTGTTTCAAATACTCCTGTCTGAGATTTTTGGGTCTAAATTCCTATTAAATACAATAAAAGCCAATTCAAGTTCTTTTTAAGAGAATAATGCAGACAGGAGAAATACTCTCTAAAAAGAAAGGCACTCTGAGCAGTGGTTTGACGATAATCAAGAAGGCTGGCTGTGAGAATCCTAACTTTTTAATATGTATATTATCTTTAAAGCCCTGAATACTGAAACATATGAACTCTTGAGAATATAATGTAGAGATTCATTCTACTTTATTTCACTTTAGTCATGAAAAAAAAATTACCTCATTCACTCCTACTCCTCTGGCCACAGAGCAAACACCTCCAAAGTAACTTAAGCTGCTCCTTTTGTAATGAAATGTCACATTCCTTACAAACAAATAAAAATGAAGAAACTATAACACATTGACATTGGGCACCAGGAGCTTATTGAAAGAGCATACTCTCACACATACTATGATAGATTTCATGCACATACATCTATTTCTAGCATAAAAAGCAACTGCAAGTTTACAGACAGAATACCAGCACTGGGAGAGATGGTTTTCTATAAGCTTTGACATAAATACTATTTTTCTCTTGTAGAGTCAGAATCAGTCTTAACCCACAAACAAACCAAGGACAGAAATCTTGAGTGCCAGACTCCTAAGACAATACAGTGGTAACAATTCTTTAAAAAGTTCACGATATATTCCAATTTATGATTTGTCATGAAGGAATTCTATTCTGAAATGTACCACTACTGAGAACTTTAAAAATTATTATCTGAATCCAAACCAATTTAAGTTTTAAATCCAAATGAAAAGACTGAGAAAGACACCTAATGGGAAAATAATTTAATACTGCTCTTTAACCTTGCCTCCTTTCATTAATTGCTAATAAGCCCCAAATAATTTAGTTAAGTAATGTAATCTGGAAGATCTAAATTATTCAATAAAATGCCTACAAATTACTATGAATTACACCTATTTTAACTTCATGGTCATAACAATAAATCTACACAGCCTACAAACAACTTACAGTGATCCTGCATGTTGTATGAATGACCTAGCCTTTGAAAACTGATGGGTTTTTTTTAAATGACAGGTTACCCCATACAGGTATGTATTTATTTTTCGGAACATTCCAACAGCCATCAGAACATTCAGGCTGCAGCTTAACTAAACATTTACAGCCAGGGACTTTACAACAGACAGGATTGCAGGCACTTTTGGAAATGTTCTAGTTCATCTCTTCCCCAGCTCCAAAGAGGCTCAGCTGGAGCATGCCACATTCCACTAGCTTTGGAACATATCCAAGCATGGGCACTCCATAGTCTCTCTGTGCAGCCTGTTCCAGCATCTGAACAACTTCACAGTGAAAGGGGTTTTTTGCCCTACGTTTAAATGGAACTTCTGGTATTTGAGGTTGGATTTGATACCTTTCACCATGAGAAGAGCCTGTTGCTGGCAAACTCTTCAGCAGGTGACACAAAGCATGCATGAAAGTCACTAAGAGTGCATGTCAGCAGCACTGTGCCTGTATTATGAAGAACAAAATCAGCATTGCATTGTGATGCCTGTATTAAGGAAACCTGGAGGAAATTCTTCATCTCCTGTTTTTATCTTCTTCTGCAGAAGATGAACTACTGGAGAAATTATATTCACCATGGAAGACATTGGTTACTCCATCCTCACAGTACGTCATGCTGCTGGGAGACAGCTTAAGATCTTTCCCTATGCTGCACAGGGGAACACACATTTCCTCCTCTTTGCTTACAATGCCACGAAGTAAAATAATCCTTGCTCCAGGCTGAAGTCGTGCCTAGTGATGCAAGTGGAATTTCCCTTCAAAATGCATTGTCTTTCAGAACAATTCATTACAGCTCTAAAGGAGAAGACCTTCCATTAACAAATCATCACTGCAGCCACATGTGTGAATAAATTTACTAACTGGAACACTCTTGTGGCAATACATAATCCTGTCAGCTCTGCCCTCTCCTGATCATAACTGGAAAAGCAGCACATTACACACATGATTAGCAAAGCTAAATGTCCTTAAGGGCTCATCTAAAGACACTTCACATGTGACACTGTCTCCAGGTTGCAAAGACATTCAAATATCATTACAGATAACTATCGACATGACCATGGTATATACTACACCTATAAAAAAAGGTGTTAAATATAGATTAAGCTTCCTAAGGAAGGCAGATGTTGATTGATACAGAGAATACCAAGCAAAAAAAAGTAAGAAAGAAGAGACAAGTAGAGAAAAGCAGCAGAGAGGAACTAACATTCTAAGGATACATACGAGAGCAGGTGCACAGCATCGGCGTGCTGCTTGATGTAGTGCTGCCGGTACTTGGAGAAATCGTGGAGCATCTGCAGAGGGTCAGGGTGAATGTTAATGCGGTCTCTGTCTGTCCAAGTCTCCACAGCAACCAGAACCACCCTGGTGTTCAGCTGCTCCTTGTATATCTGAGGGCAGAGACAGGACAGGCACAGGAGTAGAACACTGGGTCAAACATGCACAGCTAGCCAGTAAGAGTAAAGCGGAAGGACAAGAGGGATAAAGCAGGAGGAAAACATGGGGAAATAGTTAGCTGGCAATGCCTTGCATTTCCTAAAAGCTGATATTCTGATCCACTTAAATTTTATGTTTTAGAAGGGAAAAAAAAACCAACCCTAGTTGCTTTTTTTTTCGAGCCACTCAATTTTTTTAAAAATTATCATGGCAAATAACTTTGCCACTGAATTTTGCAGAAAACTTGCGCAAAAATCAGGAAAGTAGAATTGTAAAGGTACACTGGGTGATCTCAAGGAAAAGAACTGTATCTCAAAGAGCAGCAAAAGACAATTTTAAAGTAGGAATTATTTAATTTCTCAGTTTTCCAATAAATCCAAATTTTAATCAATGCTGGATTTCCATTTATATAGTAGGATCACTTAATTCTCACATTGCCTGAGTGGAATTAAGGAAAAATATTCATTTTTCTATAAATTTTAATGTTACTGCAGCAATAGACAAGGAAACAACAATCAGGCATTAATAATAACAAAACAGTTTTAAAATACACATTTTAACATTGGGCATGATACTTTATTCTGACATAAAACTACTGCTGTCTTTAGGTTCAGTTCAAAATATGTCAAGTTTATGCAGAACTCATAGATCTACAAAAGATGCATTCCTTATTCACCCTGACCAGAAACCCAGTTTTGTATCAGGACAGCATTATCCTTATTAAAAAGTCAATGTATAATACTCAGCTTAGATAAAAAAGGGAAATATAAAAACAAGAGATAGGAACCAGATAAGCTCAGCTTTGTCCAAGACCTTTGAAGAGAGTATTAGCATGCTTCAGTCTCAGGGAGACAGGCTGAGAGCATCCACAGAAAATGGTTTACAACATGAGCAAACCCAATGAAATTAAACTGCCTGAAGTGACAAAGGGGTGGATCAATAAAGACTCTACTTCTGCTTGTGAGAGGAAAACTCTATTTCCTGAAGCAAACAAAAACAAAAGAATGGAAGAGGAGGCAAAGAACCTGAAGACCTCTGAAAGCCATTATCCTTTTCCCAACAATAAATCAGTAAGGAATACAGCCCACACCCTATGGACACAAGGGAATAACAAGGCAGAAATCCTGCTCTTTTTCATGCTTTATTTAAATAAAAAACCATTAAGATGTCATTTTGAAAGTTCTCTATGAAGGGACTGAATTCTACACAAGAATGAAGCTTGTGTTTCTGCATACACGTAGATAAAAATGGAAAAAAACAGACGTAGTAGAGAAAGAAAAGATGCATTAAATAACTTTTCTTAAAATGCAGAAAAAAGAGAAAAAATAATTATCAGATGAGGAAAAAAATAAAGATGCCACCTTTTCTTTGGGTATGTCCAATATGAATTGGAGAAATATTACACATATTTACATTTTTATCTGCTATAGAAATTTTTCTTTAGGCTGTTGGCATTTTCAGATCATTACAGAAAAATATTCCAAAACACTTCAGGTATTCCATATATTATAAGTATATTCACCTAAAGTTTCAATATACGTCCAGTACACTTTATATGTAAGAACAAATACTGCACTGTTTCCTCCGAGTCAAACTGTTGACAATGTTTTGCACTGAATCATATCACACAGTTCCACTGGTATCAATAATGTCACATGGAAAAGGGACTCAGAGTCAGCATTTGGTAGCCTTTGTATTCATCCCTACTAGAAAATCTACCTGTTTTCACTATACACAGAGCTCTGAAAGGTGTGTGACCATGTGTATCAAAAAGAGGAAAAAAACCCACCAAATTAATTTTACCACAAATATTACTTTTAGTTTATATGCTGTATGCAAAATTGTTTTAAATTTAACACAGATACAATTATGGTATCTGTGTCAGTTCCACCCATTTATAATGTAGTACAGTGGCATTTTTTTCTGTTTTTAAGCTATAAATAGAGATTTATAAAGCAGATTATTTTACTCACACTCACTTTTTCTTCCAATAGATATATGTATCCCTTGTGAGCTATAGTTGCAGTTTCAATCACTTGCAGTTAAATACAAATATAAATTTGATTAAATCTCATTCTTAATTGGTGACAGATAATGAAATCACCCCTGCCAAAGGCAAACTCAGTCACAAGCTTTAAGAAAAATGCCACAGATAATCTGGTAGTTTCTTAAACATTCACCCCAGGCTATTCTTCTGCAGAGGAACTTTAGAAGTGCACTTTAAAGTGTAATTGAAATTTGGTATCTGAAAATGATATCATTTTTAATACAGTGCTAAAGTAGAAGCCAGTGAATCAGTTTTCAGAAGAAATCTTGATACTTACGGCATCTACAAGGTTTACCACAGACTTTGCAAAATTGTTTGTGTATGCAGTTGAAGAACGGTGCCTTTTGAACTAAAAGAAGAGAAAATAGATTACTAATTCTTTATTTTTACAGCATGAAAGTAAAATTAATATTTTAAGAAAGAGTATGGGAAAACTCTAAACACCTTTCAGATCACAGCTTATATCTCATATTCAAGAATCCCTGGAAGATAAAGGAAGCCATGTATGTTATGCAGCCTTTCCCAACTGTAAAAGGGGCATTTAACCACAAAAAATACTATGTTTAGAATCAGAGTTCAAATGTTTGAGACAAAATTACAGGTAAACATGAACATAAACATGAGCTCAAAATTGAGAGGATGCTTTACCCATTAATATTACTTAACCTGATGAGTTAAATATCAGACTGTAGTAGCCACATTCCATCACTTTAATTGTAAGACAAGAAGATGAAGCATTTACCACTTATCCTGTGCACAGCTCTTTGCAAAGCCCTCCTTTTCTACCACAGCACAAATACTTTTGTGACATGTAGCAGTAGTCATAGGAAAAGGCAAAATGGGAGAGGGAGTGCATGGTAGAAGTAAATATATGTATGAACATGAAAACAGTTAAGCTGAATTTCTTAAATCCTAACTTCACTTTTTTTTTAATAGACCTAGATGAGCTGTATTACAAATTCTGCTTCACAATGTCTGTGCATGTCATTGCAATGGTTTCATGTCTTTCCTCATCCTGCCTCATAAGCCCCTTCTGTTCCAAGTCAAATTTTTTAAGGATGCAGCTATGGTATCTGAACACGAATCCTTATAACTTTCAAGAAACTGTAAAATTATAAACCAAGATTACATTACACAGTATGATTTGCAGATAGGAAAAAGAAGTCTTCAAAATTTCACAGAAAATGAACATGAAATTGCTTAGAACAGGAGAAAAAAGGATTTATCAAAAAACTTACTAATTTCCACTGCTGGTTAAAAGCAACAAGTCTCATTGCCTCACAGTGTTCCATGAATGTGTAAGTTATTCTCTCTATGAAACACAGTACTTAAAAAGAGGCCTTGGAAGAAGGGAGTCTTCTCTGACTAACTGAGTTGCTGCTCTCAGGTCCAGTGCTAGTAGGTGCCTAGGGTGCACACTGAGAGGAGCATTATACCATGGACTGCTCCCCAGAGAGCAAGGACAATGGCAAAGGGGGAAAGGGTAGCTTTGGCTTTTTGTTTTGAGCCAATCCCAAACCTTTCCAGAAGTGGAAAGGTAAAATAATATGCTTTGGAAAATGTTCTTTTGGAAAATGTTCTTGGTTTTCATGAAAAAATTAAAATGCTAAAATCAACAATAATATAAACTTAATGTGGTTAAACACAGATTTTAAAAGAAATTAATCTAAACCAGTAAAAAACACAACAACCTAATTTAATGTGTTGAGATATCTTTATTGACAGAGGAAAGGAAATGTTGTGAAAATACACAGTATTAATGATTTAACACAATGATCAAGGAGGTTTAAGATACTTGTTCCGATGAAGACTTTTTGTGCAGGGGAAACATGCCCTCTCCTGGTAAGTAGAAAACCTTGAAAACCTATTTAGTGAGCTCCTGGACTGGCAAGCTGTGACTCCTAACTGTGAACACTTCCCTAAGTATGTCAACTTTATTCTTTGAAAAGCACTACTATCTGCTTCTAAGTCACTGATAACTATGAAGCAAAAAATCTTGTGCTGTAAGTTCTAACAAATAAAGCTTTAGAGGAGACAACAGTGTCTGTAATAAGTGTAGTGAACACCTTCAAGCACGTCTGCAATACAAGAGGCCAGGGGAACAAGACAGACATAGGAATATTTTTTCTTCATAAGGAACACCAAGCATAGACAAAATGGCCATAACTTCAGTTACTGTGCCCTACTGCTAAATAACAAACACCTGAGCACTCTTAAGAGTAGTTTCCTACCAGGTGGCTTTACAAATGAAAACAGCTCAAGAAATTTCTGTCCTACTTTTCCCACCCATTCAAATTCCCTCCACAGTGCTAAATTAACACAGATAAAATATAGGCTATGTTTGCCCAGACTACTTCTATGATTTATTAGACAGGTGAGGGGAGGGTACATTATGTGTCTATTCAGCACTGGAACAAGTATTAATTACTGCAACCTGTTCTGATATCTTCAATTTCTTGCTCTTAAATATCATCCTTTAGTGTTGACAACAGAACCCATAACTCCATAAAGCACTGGGAAACTTGCAGCAGGGTGAGAGACATAAAAAGCTCTTTACTTCCAAATAAAATAAGTAAAAACTATTGAATCAGCAAAATTTGATTTGAAAAAAAAAGAAGTCGTGCTTACAACAAATATCACTTAGTCTGACTTTTTCCAGTTATCTCTCAAGACAAAAAGAGGAAAAAATTTGGCTTTCATCCCCCCGTGCATTTTGTTTGTTTTTTTTTTTAATGACAAACACTTTCTGAATCAAACAAACAACTTACTTTGCACTCCATTATCACTCCTGTTTATAAGTATGGAATAGTCATGAAGAACAATCAGAGTTTTGTCTACATGTTTTGCTGCATTTAAATTTTAACCAGTAAAACTAAAAGTAACAAATTCTGACCTCTTTCTATATAACTTCAAAGATAGGATGTAATTTTAGAACATTTAGTGTGTTTGTTCTGGACAAAAATGTTTTATTGTTTTACTTTGTTAGTGATGAGCATATTACTTTATCCATATGAAACCAAAGTGTTCCAGATTCATTTTGAATATATAATTGCCCCAGAAATTCTTAGGTAACATTAAGTTTCATTAGGTATTATGGCCTACAGCGTGTCTTACAGTACAAATGTTAATAGCTGCTGATAAATAAAATCCTGGGCCCAGAAAAGGGTGACAATTTGTAGGCTGTACATCAGCCTACAAACTGTCACCAAAAGGCAGACTACCACTGAATTGATATACTTACCATTTTATGGTCATTGACTATCATGAGCTCCAGATATTTCATTTCTTCAAAGACACCACGAGATAACTGATGAATTAAAGAAATTCTTTGAGAAATCATGAAGATGTAGTTATTTTCAAAAATATCTACAGCTGATTTTGTTATACATACATATAAAATATCTATTGTTTAGGGTATGCAAAGCAGTAAACAACTGGGTGACAAATGCAAGTAGGGTAAAGAATCATAGCTCCAGTAACTTAAACACTGGCTCAGAATCTGAGCCACATCACTAGGAAAGTTCAGGGTCTACTCTTTTTGCTTCAGTGCAGACACCACCACTGCTTTCCTCCTCCTTACATTATGTACTATTCACCACAGATTTAATGAGGAAGGAAGTTACTAAAAACATAAGCACCCTCAAAAATATGGTGTGAATTATGCAACTCAGTGAAGAAATTCAGAAAAATCTCATTTAACTCAATTATTCCCCTAACTGATATATATGCATGTGAAGATCATGAGGACTGCCCACTTAGGTTCTCCCAGTAACCCAGTTTTGGGTGTCCTCATTTGGACTTTTGATTTAATCATGCTACTTAATGAGCCAAGTGACAATAAAAACAGGTATCTATAAAGTAGCAAGAGTTCATTCAAAATTATTCTTTATTCTCAAGCAGACAAAAAAATTAAAATTCTAAAGTAATTTCCACTACTAAATTTCGATTTAATTGATGCATAACATTGCTGTGACTTTAGAAAGTTTATCACCTTTCTTCCAAATTTTCTATTTTTGAAGCAAAGTCTTGTTTTCTCATTTGGTAACTCTATTATGGGACAATATTAAGCTTCTAAAAAACACTCGTTTCATAAACCCTGTATTCTCTTGACATTAAAAAAATACAGAAATTAATGAGTTTGGTTTTACAAATGGTCTTAACTCAGAGTCAGACTTCTACTTACTGCTCTCTTTCTTCTTCTCCTTCTCCTCAGCCACTGCAGTTCAGACAGAAAGGGCCATTCAGAACTAGAGTCGGTCTCTGTAAAAATTACAATTTAAAAATTATTTTAAACTACTTATGTACACCATCCAAAAGTACATTAAGATCACAAAAATTAGAAACACCCTTGCTATCCAAAAGCTCATTTTTAAAAAGATAGAAGACATATCAAAACTCAAGTAATTCAGAAATTTTAAAGCATGCAAGGAGATGTGAAGAAATTATAACCTGGGCTTAGAATATACATTTTCTTCCATCTCATTTGCCTCAGTACATTAATATCACTGATTAAATTCAGTGACTTTCAGAGAAAAGCTAAATACAGGTCTGTGGATGAAAATCTTACAGCTGCCTTTTGAAACACCTATATTGCATTGCAGTAATTGTGAAAAAAGGCAGGTAAATATCTATTTTTTCAAGATTTTCTAAATAATCAGCAATTTCATAAATACTGCTAGCTTAATAGTAAAATTTTCCAATATCTAAAAACTCACAAGAAAAACATACCAAGGTCCTGCAACTGCTTGGAGGCTTGTGTCCCATAAGTTCTTTGGATAATATGTGGCCTACTTTTACCGTCCTAAAAAGAAAAATATGTGAAAATTTTATTCTAATTAATAACATCAAGTGAAAAATGTGGCACTTCTTTCAGTATTTATCATTTTTATCATTTTTTCTATAAAACGTAAGCAACTATAGTACCAATTTGGGACAGTACTAATCTGAAGCAATTTATTTGCAAACCTGAGCAATTCATGGAGCCTCTCTGCTTCAGCAAATTGACCAGTCTACAAAAAAAGAGTGTCACAGATGTCTTGGAGATTACCTTAAAAAAGTCCTTTAAAAGCCTTAGCATTAGAGAACACAGATCCCTTATTCCAAAAAATCAAACTAGAATGTCGGCATCTGGTTGAAATCTTCTTTCCACAGATGAAAAGGAACTACTACTATTTATGAAAAAAACCCTAATTGCAGCAAATTGCAAGAAACCAACCAGTTTATCTATCCTCAAGAGGACCCTTTCACCCAGTTTTATTGGTGTATTCCACACTTTAAAAAGACAAGATTTTTAATGCATATTTCTTTAGAAATCTGCCATGCCCCAAATTATCACATTTGAGTAACTACTCTAGAAAATAACTCCTTTATTCCGTAACACCTCCTCTGCAGAGCCTGCCAAAACAAGCAATTCTTATCAAAGGGTAGGTTGCTACTGTTCTGTAACTTCCATAAGAAATACACAGCACACTGAAGGACAATACAGCACGTATTTGCTGGATTTTGGGGGGAAGGAGAGGGAGTTTTACATAGTATCTACAATAGTTAAGATTAATCAAGATGAATAAAGTACATGCTTAAGGCTGTGTTCAAGATATTTATCTCATGTACTGTAATAAAAAATGAGCCTCTGAAAGCTCTCTGTAGCTGTATTATTTCCAGCACGTTTGAGAAAATTATGCATCTCATCTGTTTTCTTATTTAGAGCTCAACTTGAAACCTTGAATTGGCAAATGGTATCTCAGTTTTATAACCAGAACTTTTGCTCTGCTTACAATTTTTAGTGAAATACCACTCAGAGAGATATCCTGGTGGTATAGCAAGCAAGCAAACAGTTTAGTCAAATTTTTTTCTTCCTTGTATAAACACAATCTCCATGAATTTACTGTGTCTGTGTTGTCAGTTTTTAGAATTGCAACCTTTACGAACATGTGCTACATCACAGATACACAGCAGGTACTGCTGCTCCTGGGCAGACTGATTCTTTTAGGTGTAATATTTTCCCATGTCTCTGAAGTTTCATTTGTAGCCCAATAATTGACTGTCCACATGACACCGAGGCCTCTGAATGTTGATCCAGTTTGACAGTATCAGCCAATGATTTTGCAGGTCTTTATTCAGACTCCAATTTCAGCTTTCCAGTCACTACAACGTGTCAGTTCAGCAGCATCAGTTATTTGTCACATACTATACATATACTGTCAAATACATACTAGAGTGAGACAAGCTTCGGAACTGTGGCACAGCATCTGCAATATAGCCCACAGATCAAGCAGGATACAAACCTTGGGAATTCTTTGTCTCAATGTTGCAAAATCATTCTGCTGAAAATCACTCAGAGGTTAGAAATATACCTAGTTTTACTACTGTCTGTGAAACTCTGCCAGCTGTACTAAGAGCTAAAGTTTTAGAAACGGTTGTACTTGTGAAACACAAAATACAAAAAAAAAAAAGGCAAAATACTTGCATAAATGCAGTCCTATATGCCGATCCAGCATAATCTTGAATTTGAATATGCTGGATCACAATCATTTAAGATATACAATGATCACTGACTGAAGACATACAAAGTTTAAGATACCCAGATGTAATTATCTATTTAATTCTGCTTTTTGTGGAATCATGGCAGGCCGAGAGCAATCTGATGCAGCTATTTAGAGAGGAATGTACAAATGAGTTTCAGAGATCCTTCCAATGAATTTATAAAAACTTTACTTCAAGTACTAGAGCAAATTGATAAGCACTTTATGACAGTCCATAACCGTGTGCTTTGGGAAACAGTTTTACTTGCCTGTTTCCACCATCTAAATGACCAACAGCAAGTAGGAAACAAAGGATTAAAGAAAAGCAGAAAAAAAATCATAGGTAAATCATAATTACATAATTGCCACCTTAAACAAATTCAAATCAAGTGTTTTAAAATACTTTTCATTTTCATATTAATGCATGAGACCTATCACTTATTGATTTATTCCAATACTTTTATTTGGTGTTCCTTGAGCAGTCTCCTAAACCAATTAAATTAGACAAAAATAAACTTACTGCAGTGTGGGTCAGATCCATTGGTTCTATCAAGTACAAATAAGTATTATCTTCAAACATGCCACTAGAACATGGAGAAAAAGAAGTGATATTTAGGATTACAAGGCAATGAGTTTGACTCCAGGATATGAATTTTGATAAGACAAAACCAAACTTAGGGCTGAAAAACTGACCAATATTAAATAGATGTTCATTACTACCACCTGTAGCTAGAGCCAAGATTGGGGAATTATCAAGATATGTGACACATTTTAATGGACTAACACTAAACGTAGTGGCAATGCAATGATAAAATACCAGAAGGGGTAAAGATTTGACCTTGGAAAAAGGAAGTCCTATGACACACCCTAGCATGCAAAATATAATCAACAGCTGAGCTGTACTTAGCAGGAATTAATGCTAATTTGTTGCATTTTTTCCTTGTACAATCTAACAAAAAGATCCATTTTTCTGTGACAGAATCATACATGAATACTGAGCATACAAACTGCTGAAATATAATTCTTGTTTATCCTTTACCATAATAAGTCATCTGGGGAAATATTTACCTGCACTTACTGTATTCAAAGGTTTCATGAGACAGCATCAAAACACTAATTCCAATGACAATAAGAAAAATTTCAAAACATAAAAAATCTTTGAGCCTCAAATGCTTCAGCTCCTTCTATATTAAGAGACAATATTCAAGAATAATAATTAGTTATAGCCTTGTTTAAAAAATGAGAACATGCACTTACTGAAGTCCATTACAAGTTGAAAGAGCAACTTTGGAATCCTTCACACCTCTGATATTTCCATGGTAGTAACAATGCTCTCCCCCCTAATAATTTTAAAAAACAAACACACACACAAAATTATCCTGATTTCATGTCTGTTGCGTAAAACCAATGCCAAAAAAATCTAACAGTAACATTAATCTCATTTATGTACTTGTCTTTACTGTCTATCAGCAATAAGCTCAGGTAAACTAAAAAGTATTCTCAAAAAGTTTTATTAAAAACTCAAGCGTGGTTGTCTCTCAGCCATTGTTTGAAAAACCTACTGTTCATCATAAAAATAGTATGAGAATTTTTAATTCTTGTGTCATGTCATCTGAACTCCAACATGCATATTAAACCCATTCTTCATGTAATGATTATAACTCGAGACAGTACAAAAAATGTAAACGCTCTTTGTCTATGACAGCATTATTTCCACTTTGCATCTTACTTAATGAGTTATTCAGATTCTAATTTAAATTCCTTACAAGATATTGTATATAATTAAATCAAAGTACTTCACAGAAAGTAATCATTCTGCGTTTACTCTTCCATCAGTGAGAATGCATAAAACATGCTTTTTAACCGCTAAATTTGATTATGTTTCTCACACAAAGCCTTTCAAGATTTTTTTTTCTTTAAAGATGATCACCTGAGTAAAGAAATTGCTGTTTGTTCTTCGGTCATTTTTGCAATTAACTCTTTCTAGTAAATAGTTTTAATTGAGATCTCACTTCTTTAGATCCACATCAGTAAACAAAACAACTTTTTACTTGGGCATAAAAAGTATTACAAGACACTGCAAAGGACCAGGACACAGTCCTTATTTGACCTCCTACACAAATTGTGTGGGGTTCTGGGGTCTTTTTATCATCTATAATGAAACCTTTTCCACATTAACGTGACCTCAGGAGCTCTATTATCACTTCTAAATACAGCAATTCAGAAAACATCCCCTAGGAAGTTTGGATCAAGTTACTGCAGCATGCAAAGGTAGCCCATTTGCTGAGTCTGAAGTTCTAATATAATTTTCCAGTCAGATTCATGATTCAGCAACCGCAGTGCTCAATGCTAGTGCTGCAGCTGACAATTGCATGAGCTAGACTAAATGCCAGGGGGAATTGTTTTCTTGCATCATTTAGCATTTTTGCCTATTCTGCAGAATACTGAGTCTTAATGGAACAACTTCCTTTGTATGTAACATGAAACTGTTTTTCTTCTTCAGTGGAAGAAAACAAAACAGCATATCTCAGTAATTACACAGCAATGGAGTTGTTTAATTCTGCCCTAATCTGCCATTTATTATTTTATTTGAGATTCTCTACAGAAAGGTCAAAATAATAAACCAGACATCTAATACTTGGACAAACAACAGTCCGGACTTTCCGAAGACACGAATACAACCAGAATGCTTGCTTGCCTCCACTCTAAATACAGATATAATTCACACACAATAAGTTTGCAAGAAATATTTTGGCATTTCTACCAAATACAGAAAAAGTAATTCCCTGCAAATGTAGTTTATAAACTTCCTAGGAACCTTCCAGTCCTCATTTTGTTACTACAAACAAACAAAAAGACTGGTCTGGTTCCCTTAGGGCTGAGCTACCTTGCAGAACTTCAATCTGGCTTTGGATCAATAGCCCATGGCACTGAATTCAATTTGGGAGCTAGTCTGACAAACAAAATTAATTGGATGTCTAGCAATATGCTGATTTTGTAATAACTCCAGAGGTTAAGGTTTCAGTTAAATCTTTCATTTTCTGTTTCACGACTGTATAATCCTTGCAAACAAAAGTCACTGGAAGACTTTTGAGCTTGTTTAATTGTCTAACATTACCATTATTCTTTCTCCTTGCACTTTGTGCAAAGGACACATAAATAGTTAATGAAGACTAATCTGATGGTGACTTCAACCCCTCCACCTCCTATATCTTACATGATGTAATTGTCCTGGCAGTAATGGATTATCTTCACTACTAGCACTACAAATGCCTACTCCTCACCCCAAAACACAGCTTTTGTTTTTTGTACAATTCCTCTTGTATTGCTGAGGTATCTGTACACGATGAGATCACAGTTACTTTCCCTGTGTGGAAAAACACTTCTGAAGTTTATAAGTCTTGCTAAATATTTTTTTCCCTCTTTGTTTTTTTTTTTTTTTTATAACATGTTTTTGGCATTGTTCCCTCAGAATGACAATTTAAGAACACAATACCTTAGAAAATTTTGGTTTTCCGTCTTCATACTGGATCTCCACATAATTGGAAGATAACAAGTCACTGTCAGAGAAAGGATAAACAAAGATGAGAAAAATCTGAGTACTCTTTCTATTGCTATGGGTAGGTTTGAGGGGTTTTGTTAGCATTTTCAAACCATTTTTATTTTCCTTGTACATTAGTTTAAAGAAAAATCAAGCAGTTTGTAGTCAGTAAATGGTTTGAAGGTACACTGGAAGTGAGAGTGTGGTATAGAAGGGTGAATGAAATGCAGTCTAATCCCCTGTATTTTAGCTTTACAATTAGATAACCAGCCTTCTAAATATGCAAAAAAAATACCCCTTGGCTTCAGAACTTTCCTTGCTGACAGTATATGTATTTTAGTTCATCACCATTTTCAAACAGCTTTTCCATTCTATCTTAAAGTGTAAATAGAGTGTATGTAAGGCTGAACAAATAAATACACCATTGTTATGAAGACAGGAGTGTATAATCACTTTCACAAGCTGAAAATACTCTGGTTTTTTTTTCCCAAAAGCAATAATGTTCCTTAAAAGAAAACACAATGCAGAACTCGAAACACAGTCCATATTACCCTTTTTCTTACTTACACTTTTTATTTTCAGATACTTTTCTCATTCTTATTTCCTTTCTAACTCTAGCAAAAAAATTTCAGAAGCATAATAATATTCTATAATATGTCATTTACAGTTTTTCTTTTTTTTTTTTTAACCAAGCTTAGCCAGCCTGTACACGTCCTGCAATAACCTCCGTGCCCCATTCACATCTCACCCTTTTACAATCAGGGTTGCAGCATAATGTCCAGGGAGAGCAAAGCAATTAAAGACATTAACTGGCCCCACCAAATATGCAAGATAAGCATTTTACTTAATGTGATCCAGAATTCTTAGCATTTTTGAAGTCTCTAATGTACACTTGCAACTAAAAAAAAAGAATTTAAAAATCATTAAAAGGTCTGATACTGGTATATATATCAAAACAAAAATATCATTGCTACAAATAAAAAACACTATTATGGAAGTTGGTGTGGCAAAATAGCTCTGATGGGAATTCATGACTAAAAACAACTTATGATAATGTGTATCTCAAACTCAGATTAGGCTATTAGCAATCCTGATAACACTTCAACTCTGGGACTCCTGGCTCCTCAAATCAATTCTTCATGCCATATTTATCAGGCATTACACTCATTAGAGAGCATCCTGCAGAAGTCAGTTACCAGTTAGAAGTTCTTTCTCATGAAACTGACACAGCACACTCTGGGCCTGCAAAACCAATGCTAATAGCCCTGAATAATTACTGAAGTCTAATAATTTGCCTTAAACATCACTGTGAAGGCATTATTAAAATATTTTTTTTCAAGTGCAGATTTAAAAATAAATTCAGTTGCATGAATTAATTTTAACTTTGTGTCATAGTAAGCTATAAACTTTCTGCAGAAAATACAAATGCTGTATAAATAGTGTAAATACCTGACTGCAATGCAAATATTTATTTCTTTACCATGGCAAGAATGAAGCTTCTAACAAGGCATACATATACAAAACAATTAAAGTTTAGAGTGTTAATAATGCCCTTTTATTCTTTGCATCTTCATACTTGTTATGAAGCATAAAGACTACTGTTCCCAGTAGGGGATGGTACAGACAAGGCTGCAGGTAACTGATGTAAGTAAGAAACCTGAAAACTGTAATCACAATACAAGTATTAAAAAAAAATACTGAGAATTATTAAATACAGGAACTGTGCTAATATGATAGGGCCCTGACCAGATTCCAACTTTTACAGACAATTCTGCTTCAATTCATGAAGACTGTTGGGTTTCCTCAAACTAATTCCTGGATCAGCACTTATCAAGCTCACAGCTTCATACCTTCTTTTTTGCCCTCTCTTAGTATGACTCTTATATGACTGATCTCAGAAATTCTTACTATGCTATCTAGTGCTTTTTGCATCTCATAAGACTTGCAGTAAGTGATTTCCCACTATGTGTACTGACTCACAATTAACTATAGCTTAATTACAGCATTTCTCTCAGATTTATCCTATTTTATGTTACATAAGAGCAGCTCAAAACTTCTTTAGTCTACTCTTTGCAGCACCTTTCCAGAGTTCAGTATTCTTGGATTTTGGTTCAGCTTCTGTTGTAACCTAGTTGATTCCTCATCTGCCATCCTTTTCCATTCTTTAGCTTCTCATTAGCTCCAACTGCCAAAAGAATTCCCAGTCGGGTTTTGTCCAAATACAGCGTCCAACGTGACAGGATATCTAACACGGCATACTTATGATGGAAAACTCCTATATGTATATACACAAATACTACAAGTACAAAGCAAGGATGCAGACAGTTTCCCAGCAGACTCTACACTTTTCTCATCTCTGACTTTCTAACATCTAGGGGGTCTGTGTGGCAAGGTTTTGGTTACGGGGAGGGCTGTGGGAGTGGCTCTCTGAGAAGCTGCTGGGAGCTTCCCCCATGTCCAACCAGAGCTGGTGCCAGCCAGCTCCAAGATGGACCTTTGGGATCTGCAGGACAGAAGGCACATCAGTGAAATTCTCCATGCTGAACGAATTCCCTCCAAAGAAAATTAAGACCTGCTGTTTGTGATACACTTCCCAAATGCCACGCTATAAACAAAATGCAACTTTAATTTGTGAAGCACCCTTTTGGCAAACAACACAGTATCCACCACCTAGAAGGTGGAGTGGAAAATCTTTTATAAGACTTTTGGATTTCACAAAATTGTTTCTCATGCAAGGCTGGACCAGAGTGTTTATCTCTAGTTTCTGGTCATTATTATGTTTTTAAGCTTGCCACACGTACCCACCAAGGTCATGCAAGGGCATTTTTCCCTTAACATTTCCCTCAGGATAGCAAGAATTCTAAACATTCCATTATAAAAAAAACCCAGTCAGCTGTTCCTTAAACTGCGTGCCTCCCCCTTGGCAAGCACCTCATTTTTGTCAGGTACCTTGTATCACTTTGTCTCATTTCAAGTGATACACTGGCAAAACATCCAAAAGAACACCTTGCTTGCAAACATTGAGAAAGACAGGAAGGCTAAGGAAATTTGTTCTACATTTTGCTAAAACTCTGGGAATAACAGATGTAAAAATATACATAGAACTGCTACTGCAAATTTCCCCTATGAAACTTTTACCTGTTATTAATGCTGACAAATCTGACAAAAGACATAAGAAAGTTTTAAAGAAGAGAAGAAAAAAAATAACACGTAACCAAAATAACTTTCAAACATTTTTTCCTTAGACAAAAGACATACACAGAAGAGCACTGTAATTTCACCAGGAGGTGTGATGGGGCTCTTTATGTAAGTGGCATCAAAAAGAAAGACCTAGAACACACTGATTAAGAGCTCATGTAGAAGAGCAATTGCCTGAGGAATGAGGCACAGAACTCAAGCATAAAGTAGGGGTCTCCACAGCACAAAATAACTCTTCTTCCTTCATTATCACTTACAGAATGCCTATATTTACCTCTGAAAGGCAAACCTGAGTTCTATGAAATACATTTGCATCTCATCTACACTGGACTGTGTTTTGCCACCTTTGATCCATTTTGAACCATTCACATCCTGCTTCGGGCAGAAAGGCATCCAGCACAGCAAATTTCATTTTCAGTACCACAAGCACCAGAAACAGTGCAAGCTTTAACTGAAATGAGTGTCAATCATGAACACATCAGACACATTAGCATGATCCTATACAATGAACACACAAAGTTGCAACATACTGAATGAACTCATGACAAAATAATTTGTCTGCTGTGTCCTTTTCTGCAGTTCCTTCTACCCTGCCTTGTTTATCTCAGATAATTGTTCTTATTGAGCTGTCTTGCTCCCTGGCTCTTCTATCTTAGTTACACTGAGAAATGCAAAATAAGCAGCAAAGGGATATGCCATTCCCTGTAGCTGCTGCCTTTGAAGGCATAGACCAGCTGTTAAAGTAAGCAGCAGATGCTTTCTGAACTCACATCCACTTCCCTGGCATGTACTTCACTGCTGATGTTTTCATTAGCAGGAGAGCTGCAGAGTAAAAGTGGCTTACCTCAGCTGGCATCTAACTATCCTGATGAAGAGAATTGATTTGGGTAGGAAAAGGCTATGAAATTACCAAAAGATATCACACACAAGTAAGCAAATTATCTTCCAGCAACCTAGTAGACAGCCTGCAGAAAATCAGAGTACAGCAAAAATTACCTTTCTTGCATACTCCCTCTATTATCTTTATATTAACCTATCACCAGGCAATACTTTATTAACTATTCTGAAATGTTTCAAGCTCAGTACCAGTGTCTGAGCAACCTAGTTTAGTTGAATTATTTAACAGAACACCCATCAGATGTTTTTGTCCATTTGACAGAAATAGTTTAGTAGCACATAAAGATGGGGAAAACAAAGAGACCTTGCTGCAGTATTGTTTTAAGACAATCAAGGCACCATCATCTAATGCAATGCCCATCTACACCCTTGTTTATATTAATAGTTTCAATTATATTCACAAACTTGGTTGAACTCACTATTTTTACATGAATGTATTAAATGTCTGTTGTTTATTTAAGAAATGTCATAAACACTCAGTTTTCTTCTGAAAAACTGTGACTAGCTTTCCCATTTTCATTTTAAAAAGAATTTTTTAAAAAATTTTATTTTAAAAAAGAATTATGAAAAAACCCCAAGAATCAAGTAGTTTCTCAAATAATTCAGTTATCGCCCCACCGTTTTTTAAATTAGGCTAACATTGTAATTTCCTCTGGGACCATTCTCCAGTTAATTCAGTGCTACAGAAACATACACCACAAAGAATAAACACCAATTATAAGGTTTAAACAATTAGGTAAAATTTTCTGTTATGTTGGCTGCACTTCACAAATGAAACTAACTTTCCACCACTGTCATCATATTTTCATGTCTCAAATTGTTAAGTCATGTTATGGTCAAATGCATTGGGGTTGGGTTTTTTCCGTTCATGTCAAAGATGCCAAATTTTTTTTCTGTGATATCTTCATGGAAAAGAAATCCATTTTCCTGGAAACAGAGTTTCCTGGAAAGATGGACTTCTATGGAGAAAAGAAGGAAAAGCTAAAAAATATAGAATGACTTTGGTGATTTTTTTTTCTCCCCTTCCCCAAGAATCCTAAATTTTGAGGCAAGTTATCCATAGGAAGGAAGAGGAATTTTTGTCTTTGTGTATTCCCTTTGTTTCTGTCCATATCAATTAACTAATTTCCTATTCTTGGATGTGTCTCAGCCACCACAGTCCCAGGGGTGAAGGTTCCAGTATAGCCTCAGCCCCCTATGCTGGTGGAGGCTGGAATTATACCATAGCTGCAAACTGCCAGAAAATACAGCCAACTTCCCTCCCCACTAAAAAAGCAGCAAGTAGACATTTTCAATTTACTGCTTTTGGTAGTACTGCTCTTTAATGTGTTTTAGTACTACACCAGAACATAAAGCCTGCTACCTTTAAATAGGACATTAAGAGTTACCGGCAAAAAATCTTCTCTTACAGCAGAAGAACAGCAAGTTAAAAGCCATTTTACATGCTGCTGGAAATAAGATCATTAAAAACTAATTTCTAGCACCTTGCAAACATTTGTTTGCATAAATAATGCAGCAATATAGAATAAGAAACTGGTCACATATACTAGGATCATTGATTACCCAAATACAATGTTACAACACTGCCATTTGAGGACAAAAGTGAACTTACTGAAATAAGTCAACAAAGGCTTTTTATATAAATTGTGTTTTATGACAATGACATACTACACATTGCATAGGAAGTTTATTGAGTTTGGGCAGACAATCTTAGTTGAATTGTAAGTCTAACTTTTCAAATGGGATTGTTACCCCGCTACCACACTACAATCTTCCATTTTCATACTAAGAGTATTAACTAAAAACATTATTTAATCCATTAGAGATTATAAAACTATTACTTTTTGCATCAAGTTATTTCCAAAATCAACATATCTGCAATTATTATGCATCACCATAACTAGCATCACACTGAGAGCCTGCAACCAGTCAACACTTGAGTGTAGCAAGGGGCAAGATGTCTAAAATTTCAGAGTAACCCACCTTCCCAAGGACTTCAAAAGATGAGTTCTTTTTCCCAGTCTTCTTGTCAGAAAAAGCTACCAAAAATCATTCTTAGGATAACAAATTATATTTCATCTGGTTTAGACCACGTGAATCTGCAAAGTTGGTAACCCTTTCAAGCTCCATATAAATCTTACTTATTAATTGTCTCTGCACACTGGATTCAAGGGCTTGAGGGGCTTGCATTTCTTTCGAGCTGTTTGTGCCACTGCATCACAGCAAGATGGAAAACAAAGCAAAATTTTCTAGTAACAAGCTCCATAAACTTTCAGATTGCCACCTCTTCTTACAAAATCTCGACAGTTATTAATGAAATTGAATATCCAATTTTCATCACTTTATTGCCAAGTTATAGTATTTGCTGTGAAAAAAGATCATCTGCAACATAGAAGGTAGGCAATTGCATAATTTCCAACAGTGGTAAAGAAAACCAAAAACTAGATCCTGTTTGCATGTAACAACCATTGTCGATTTTAGCTTTAATTATTTTTAGAACATTCAAAAAAACTACAGGAACAAAACCAAAATGCACAGAACACACACAGTGTGAGTGACATTAACTCACCTTAGAGCAACTGATACAAATATATATTCATCATATATAAGTGTATTCCCAATTGTTCTGCCTTTGCTTCTGACTAGACATTAGCAGTACCAGTATGCCAACTACAACCCAACATAGTAGCAAAATGTCTGCTTTTGGCTGAACACATAAACATAACTGAATTACAAGAATGGGTCTTTTTCAAATCATTGTCTACGGGCATTTACAATTTCTATTACAAGTTTTATGACTTACAGTTTTAGAGTATTATGTCCAGTCAAAAACTAGCACAAGTTTTTAAAGTAATTTTCTGGAGCAGAACCAGATAAAGAGTCAAACAACACTAAAGCAGCTAGGAGGAAACCTAAAGTATAAACAAGAAAGCAGCAGGGATATCAGTAAGGCATCCAAACACCCTGTGGCTTATATATAGGCAGTAAGAACACTCCTGATATCACAAGAGCAGAACTTCTTCAGCTAAGGTGCACAGCAAGCTCATTCCCTCTCTTTTTAAAGTGATAGGCACTGCATTTCTTGATTGCTGAGAAAGCAGCCACAATTAGAAAAAATCCGTACATTTACTTATGAACTGTTGTTAAAAATAAGCAAGGACAAACAGCAGGACTGCACAAAGGGTAACATTGCCAGGATATGGGGAATGTCAATGGGCTTGTGATTTTAACTTGGATAACAGCCATTCACCATGAGACACAGACAGGAAATGGAACGAAATCCAAATCCTAATGAACAGGAGATAAGAGTTCTGGTCTTCATTATTGCCTGTGTTAGGCCACTGACCAACAGGCCATGGAGGAAGCCACTCAAGCATGGTCTTGAAGAGGTTCAGTCAGAAATTTAGAACAGATAAGAAGTGGTAAACAACATAATTTGTCTCCTGGGAAGGAGCAAACTTATCTAAGGATGTTTGCCCAGACTTGTGGATATGTGCAATCATTTTTATGGAACATTTAGGGAATGTGCCAAGGGTAGAAAAGGTGAATCAGGACATAACATGTCAGAAAATGGAGAGGAGGTGGCCTAAAAAGGAGTCACTAGTGTAAGCTGCAAGACAGCTTGTTTGTCACAGCCCTGCACCTGATCACTGCTGTGTGTCCGAGCCCTACTTGTAATACTCCCTTTGTGACCTTGCTCTCTATTCTGCATAGGTGTGATCTGTAAGGGAACTTGAGAGTCAGTCAACAACTACAGGGAGATCTGTAGGTGGAAAGACTAAGGCCTAAGATAGTGACCACATAAGAGACCTCAAGCCTAGGCATCAATACTGAATGAACTTAAAGCCTGTGTTAACATCTGTGTCAGTGAATGCTGGCCTGCCCATAAATCAGAGGAGAGCCCGTGGAGAGGGCTGGTGTACCTTTCACCAGCAAACTTTCAGCTCTCATCAGCTGTGGAAGAACTTTTTGAACCTGTTTTCTTCTTATTCACCTAAGTACTGTCAGCATGTTTACGGGGTGCCAGTAAAGGCAATGTTTTTCTTTGTCACTGTCTGTGTGACCAGCCATACCCTACATACACTGCCATCTTGGGAATGTGTGCTCACACGCACTACTCGCTGGATGTGCAGACAGGAGCAGGGGAAAGCAGACCAAGAGGAGGAATTCCCTGTAGCTTAGAGGGCACTAAATATTGGTTCCCTTCACAAATATGTCATGATTGGAATTACTATGCACAAGTCCAGCCCTCATAAAACAACACAGTCATGCATTACACTATAATTTTTTCCAGAGCCTAGAGAACATCCAGTGATCTTCAAACTTTCTTTCTCCTTCAATTGTGTGACATTCCCAGCCTTCACACTAATTCATCTTTTGCCAGTCACTCAAGACTTCACATAGCATTTTGAAAATATAAAATAAATATGAAAATAAAAATGCAAAAGCAACCTAACTTCAAAATTATGCATGGATGAAGGAAAACGTTTCCAGCTCACCTTTACAGCAAAATATCTGACAATTAGCAGCCAAGAAGCCAAACAGACAAATATAAGTTCTGCAAATTTTCTAAAGCCATAACTTGCTGCTTTTGAAAGCTAATAGATTTAATAAGTTAGTGTCTTTAACAAAACTTCCCTTTCATGACAGTTTAAGACCAAAAAAAGACCTCATATGAACCTCAAGACCAGAAGAATGCTTTTTAAAATCAGTATGCAATTGTTTCTGTAAAGTTGTTTCTCCTTTTTTTAGCATGCTCAGTCTCAAGAGACATAGAAGGGGCAAATGCACTTCAGAGCATTACATTTTACCTGTCCAGTATTTAGTATGAATTTTATATTTCTACCTTATTCTTAAACTCCCTAGAAAACCATAGTTCCACACCTGCAGCACTGATATAAAAGCATGTGGGATATACACAACTAAACCATCACTATCCTGTATTACAAGTCAGTTCTTCTAGACCAAAGAATTATGTCAAATTGTCTGTCTGACAGCAAACAGACTCTAGCTGCACCTTTCAGTGCAGCCACACCATTAAGAGTCCCATCTCATTAGGAACTTCATGACTGTAGTGACAATAGTATGATTTCCAGATCATTAAAGATGAGCTATTCATGCAAGAATTTACAGTATTGCTACACACTGACTCGAGCAACTAAAACATCTCATGATAATTCATAGATTAGTTTAAAAAAAGCACAAGAAAATCCACACTTTGCAAACACTACCAGTACTGGAATATCTCCATCTATCATAATTTATTTTACCATGAACAACAAAATTTTAAGGGTATTTACGTTATGGGTGTCAGCAAGTGTTACTGATATCTTACATTAAAAAATGTTAAATGTCATTTTGTATTAATAACTTTGGATAACAGCATCTTTTTTCAACAGATCTTGGAATATTACATGCCCTGACCTTGTACTATAAGATGGTAAGAGCAGGAGTGAAAGAAACTTCAAATCATGCACTTACTTATTCAATGTGAGGTCAAGGATGAATTTAGAGCCAAAGGCCTCAATCTGGAAACTTGCCTGGGCCAGATGTACAGCCTGCAAACAGAAACACACAGTTGTCAAAATATTCACTGAGTTTTATATACAACAAATGGGACTGTGAAAAACAAAGTTACGGAAAACATGCTTATTTTCATGAATCTCATGGGCATATGAAATCTCCAGCCCTTGTACCAAATTCTGATTCAAAAGGATTTTCCTTTTATAGAGGGAAGCAAACAGTACCTGAAAAGCATACTTTCAAATACACACTCATCCCTCTTAAAAAGAGAAAAAAGTTTCACACAAACGTCTATATTTTGCCATAACCAGATGGCTATGTAACATAAGCAATGTAGTACACTGTTCTTTTAATTTAGTTATTGCAATCATTCCCTTTAAAAGGCTGAAATAATTAAAGCATTTGTAATACACACTTTCAAATATGAAAATTATGGCAAGGCTCATATTACCATTATGAAACAGTGCTTCAAAGGAATCCCTTCACAATTAATGGCTTTCTACTTGGCACTGTAGCTAAACCAGTATAAAGAATACTAATGCTGGTCGTACAACAAATCAACATTAGCTTGTCTTACACAGAGAGTTAAGTTTAACTCCAGGATAAGCAGTTCTTGTCAGATAAATTGTATTCTTTATTTTTCTCTATACTGTAATAAGTGTAGCCAAAGACATGTAAAACATGCTTATCTGTTTTCTAGAAAAATAGGGAGATGATAAGAAATGATCCAAGAATTTCTTTTTGTGAAGAGCTGTTACAGCAGGGTTGAAGAGATTAGATCTGAATTTCATAGTATCTTTCCCAATAATAATGTTCTGGTAAAATCATGCTTACTTATACACTAATTTGATACAGTATTAATAATTACACAAAGCTGGAATATTATGACTAAGCCCATTAGTCAAAAGATTAAAAAACCCCTATTTTTGATTAAACACCACAATTAATTCTCAGGTATGTCACAGAAAATATATCAAGTTCTTGCTGGTTTACAGCATAACTTAAATAGTATGAGGGTTAGCTTTTATGGCCCACAGTTCTGTTCCCTTTTGGAAATTTCCCCACAAAGGGTAAGTTCTTTATGTGTTTCTTCCATTCTTGCACTACACAAAGCAGCACTGATTTTCATCTTCCTTCTCAGCAAAGTTATTAATAATCTTTCAGAGAATTCTTCAATATAATTTTTAAGTTGCTATTGTGACTAAAATCAGCTGTGACATCTCCTGTATTACTTTATCATTCTTTGCTGCCAGAATTATCATTTCCCTTTCAATAGGGTCACAGAGCTTTGTTGTCAATCTTCTTTTTTAAAAATAGAAGTCATGTACAAATATTTTAAATACCTTTAATGCCATTAAACAATCTAAGCTAAAGCCTGGTTTTGTTCATTAAAAAAATACGAGTCTAAATGAGAACTAAAAATATAATATTCCTAGCTGATATATCAAATCATATAAGCAAACCAGTACTAAGCTTTCTCTGTGTTCTGTTTTTTGGTAAATGTATATTGTCTTCCCAGTTCACCAATTTGCTAGCACTGGCCTGGCAGATCTGAGTTTACAGCTGCTCTGAATCAGCAGAGCAAAACAGTTTAAGTACAAACACAAACAGGTGGCATGATCAGACTCTGCTAGCATATACATTAAAAAAAAAAAAAAAAAAAAAAAAAAGGGAATGTCAGGTTAAACACATGCCTAGTAGGAGAGGCTTTTCAACCCCAAATCCACTTTTTTTTTTTAACAAATTAAATAAAGGAACAAGTATCACAAGGAGCTTTCCAATCATCTGTTCATGACAAAAACCTTATTATGTTTTCAAAACACACATGTAATTTTTTTTTTTTTAAGCATGAAAATTTCTTATGGGAAAAGGGCTGCTTTATGCCATAAAGATTCCTCTTTAGAGTTGCACAAGCTACTGCTTTGAATCTCCTCCACATGTAACATTTACCTAAAAGGATGTGTCTTCATATTCATGTGACAAACAAGATTTCAATGTTAAATATCTGCAAAATTTACAAGAGCATGAACTATTCCATTAAGATCATTCTGAAATACACGAAATCTCTCCCTAGGCATCAGCTACTGATTTCAGTGACAGATGAATGAGTAGTCTGACCTGGTAAAGCTTTCCTATTGTCCAGTCAAGCCTGTTCAATGATACCTGTGTATCACCCTTCAAGTTTCTAAGCCATGGACCATGTATTCTTTATCTTTCTGCAATTTCAAATTATTAAAAGTAATTTTTATTCTTGGTCTGCATTATCTTAAAACCCCTTCCTCCTGTAGACTTACATATAGCAACATGGCTATTTCTGAAAACAACCACTTCTGTGTAAAAAAACACTACTTGTTATCTATTAGTGTGACTCACTAGCAGATGCAGCCTATGCACAAAAGCAATTGCTGACACTAATTTGATGACCTGCAGCAGGGCATGTTCACCACCAAATTCAGCTGAAACCATTGCTTACAAAAAGATTTTAAATCCCTGCAGTTTAGCAAAAGCACTGTTTTGAATTCAGGTGAAGGCAATACACTGCTGCTACAACAAACACAGATTCTCTTAAGCCAGTTTAACAATAGATAACCACTCCCAAAAGCCATAAACCAGCTGAAGGTGATGAGACTAAATATCCAATCCTGAAACATTATTTTCCTGCAAGAAGTTAGCATAGAAAGCCACCAGTGAATTATCACCAGGTGTTTTAAGCACTACAACCATCACATATCACAATGATGGGAGAAAACATTTCAAAAAAGTACCTGCAATTCTGTTATCCACCTTATAATTTCACTGCATTCTCTCAACAGGTACTGTGTAATACAAATACCCAAAGTATAATCTGAAATACAGTGTTCCTCCCATTGGCATAGAAATATAAATTCAAACAAGCATATAATGTTGATCAGCATATATTTTGAAGAACAGATATGTTTTCGCTGGAAAAATATTAAACATCCTCTTGTCCAGCTTGCGCACACGCAAATGCTTACACCTGCAAAAGTATTCTTTATTTACATAAAGAGGAGACCAAGTTCCTTTGTCTGTGTTTGCTTATCATCTAAAAACCTCTGCAGAGGTTCCTGCTTTGACAGCTACAGCCTAGTCCAATAGCAAAGCTCCAAAATTATATAAAGTTTTTCTTCAGCAAAGACTTACTGATGATGTATAATGATGTGGGTTGAAGAAAGGTCTGAGTCTCTCAAATTCTTCCTGTCTTCATACCCAAATTTAAGGGAAAAAAAAAAAAAGTCTTTTTTTCCCCCCTGTTCTGGAAGTTGAATTACTGGTATAGTCATTGTAATAAGATATTCTTCATACTAGGGACATTCTAATAGTGCTATAGCTGCTTATGCAAAGCAGTAGCTCTCAGGGTTTTTTCCAAGCTAAAAATCCATATATATATGAAGAATTCTAGTTTCTTCCAAATCAGTCATTAGGTTACAGTATGTTTCAATATAAAAATGGCTATAACAGGAATCTCAGTTCTACTGATCTATGTCACAACTTCAATCCTTTCATTGCTTTCATTGTCATATTTGGGCATCATTTGTCAATAATTCACTTTTTTCAGACTTTCAGGAAATTTACAATCATCACCACGAAAAATAAACTACTATATTAGTTTTACTTTCTTCACAGTAAAACTATGCCCAATGCAATAATGTCTTATCCCTTCAAAAATACTAACTTCTGTCGCAAGTCTTTAAACAAAAGTAACAGCATTATTTAACTGACTAATGGTAGCTATGAGTCTTTGGCTATATTCATGCAGATGCAGTTTCCAAAGGACAAGCTCACTGCTTTTACTAATCTATTTTTTCATACAATTCTGCTGACTAAAATAATGGCCAAAAGCTACCTCTGTATTTAGAAGCTGAGCAAGGGGTTTCATCACTCTCATTATGGAAATAGAAATGTAATTCAAATTTAGATGGATTTTACACCATCAAAACAGTTTTTTGCTCTAGACCTCCATTCTAATAATAGCCTAAGTTCTGTCACAAGTCAACGTGACTTATACATATCAGTTCATAATCCTGCTTCCAGCTTGTTGGCCTATCCTCAGACCCCATACAGAAACAATTTCCTCTTCGAGCATTTGTTACATTCCACTGCATGGCACATCCACCAAAACAACCTTCCACTACTCCCTGGAAATAAAAAAATTCATAATGAAACAGAATACATAAATGTCCCAGCAGCATGTGAAATTTGATGTTTAAAACATATATTTCAGCATTTCAGAAAACCTCCTGTCAATTATTTGTCCCTGGACTTTAACAGTAGAGGAGTTACTTTGATGCACTTTCCAAGCCTTGAAGACTGTTCTTTGAAAGAAAGGTTATGGGCATGTGAAAAAAGACCTCTGGAAGCAATCCCACTGCTGTGCATCTCAACACCAGGGGCCAAAACTCACCATTCTCTCCCAACATGGCAATACTTACATACCCTTCTGTAGTAACACTGGCCTCCAAAGTCATATCCCTCTTGAGGATCTTTTTGTAAACTCTACAAAGTAGTGCATCCCTATCTTGGGCCACTTTGCTGCAGTACCCAGCTTCCCACAAATGCTAGAAAACCTATAAACTTAATTTATTTCTATTTCAGAACAAGGCATAGCAAGTACAAGAGTTGTGCTCCCTAACGCTTAGGAAATGAAACCTTTTATAGGTTATTGTGTGAAGCTCATGAGAGAATTCAGAAATACATTTAAAAAAAAAATTAAGAAGTTGTAGAAATAACATGACCTGCATTTCAGCTAAGAAACTAAGATCTAGATCTAGTTGAAGTTGGCATAAGGAAAATCTCCTACGCTGAAAAACCAAAGACAGGAAGACCAATTTCAATCCTCCTGTTAGTAACTACTGAAGACACAGAGTCAAGGTAAACCTTCTGTATTAATATAAATTCCATATAGAATAGAAAAAAATAAAAAGTACACACAATCTTCCATTTACAAGTAGTGCAAACTGAAGCTGCACCACAGAAAGATGAGGGGAAAAAACAGAAAAGACAAAGCCAGGTGAAATACTACAAAGATTCCTCAACAATCTAACACATGTAAGTCACATGGACTCCATTCATTATTTTGACCAGTTTTCATTACACGGGGATTAAAAATGAAAACATGGACTAAAATAGGCATGTAAAGGGATGACTCACTGGTGCATAGGATTTTCTTCTGGATTTTAATAAGAATTCACATGATGCCACCTCTTGAGAGTTCATCAATTGTGATCTCTGGTCTTTTGCAAAAAATACTTTTTTTCAATACTGCTTCCTTTTAAATGAAAAAGAGCTGTTTTCCTTCATCTTAAGGATGCTTTCCTGCCCAACTTTCATATGCTGCATACTAAAATTACATAGAGGACTGAGACAGAACTGTATCTCAACCTTTAAAGCAAGGCAACATAGCAAAAATTATTGCATCCACCTGGCAGGAGTATTTTCTTTATGTAAATGACAAACAGCTGACCTGATCAGAAACACCTGGAGCTCCACCTCATGAAAAATAGCTCAAAATAAATCAAACTTTTTGGGGGAAGGGGGAACATCTTCATAGTCAAAAATACTCTTCCTTATTTTTTCCTTTTTAGAATCTGCAAAACAGTTTTTCTAACACCTCTCTCCTTCCCAAAATCACATTAACAGCTTATAATTATGCATGAAGAGATGGCTTCTTTAGAGTTCCTGAAAGCTTCTGATTCAGAAACTCTTCAGCAGATACAGTCAGCCTCCATATGAATCCAGTTTGAGTTATTTTCCACTCAAAATTTGCTAAGGTTGCCCCGGGCTGTGTTTCTCCAGCAATCCTATTTTGTTCAAACACCTTGCATTGCAGGATTTTTCCTTCTGCTGGCCACTGTAAGGACCTGCTCCTAGCCTTTTGTGACAAGTTGTGCCCAATGCAGTCTTCTTGCTAGCTCCTAAAAATCTTGTGTATGTAGCCTGTGAAAACGAACCAAAGCAACCACCCGGTTCAATGAAGAGATTAACAGTTCCTTCAAAATACTACCTCCACCTGCAGAAGCTTAAAAACACAGTACACAGGTGACTCAGACCTCTTCATCAATTTTAAGGATTCCAGTTTCTTCAGTGTGTTTTTATAAATAGATGCTCATTTTTGAACATTTTGCACTAAAAATAACTTCAGAAGAACTCAAAACCAGCTAGCCTTAATTTGACTGCAAGGAAACAGGTACACAGAATTAAGAGTTTTCAACCATCAAGTATTTAAAATCTGCTTTTGTAAGAGCACAAAGTTAAAATAAAGTATATACTAGAACTCTGCCCCCTTGGAGATAGATCACTTTGTCAAAACCATAGTTTTGACATTTCCTTCTTTTAGCAGTGATAAAAAGCTTTTTCCAAGAAGAAGGAATGCAAGAGGGTCTTGATCACAAGCACCTTCTCAATATGATGACATTTCATCAAAAGGGCATAAAGAAAATCAGTGCTAAGAAAGTAACTTATTTATTCTCTGTTACACTGTTTTCTCTCCAGTGTGTAACTTCTACCAACATTTCATGAAGAACATTGCAGACCCTTACTTTTGGGACGTGATTTTTAAAAAACATTTTAAATTGAGGGGCATAATTATATTTCTCCAACTTCTCCAACATCTTTCTTCCCACATGCACACCATTTCTTCTGGTCTCACCCTCTCCTTATAGTGACTCAGCATTTCTGAGGCATTCAGGCCTAATCCCACAAACTGGCCATATTACATTATTCTGACCAATATATAGAAGTTCCACAGAAAGGAGCCTACTGAATATTATCAATAGTTAGGGACTGTTTTCACATCATATACCTACAAATGGCATATTAAGTTTGACAAGAAAATACAGGTTAAGATGTATAGTCCCAAGAACAGTAAAAGAAGAACAAAAGCATTTTTTCCTCAACATTTTCCACTCTATACATATATAAGGCTTTTTTCACATTATTAAAACAAATCCTAAATACAGATACCTTTCTTTACCTAACCATATTTTGTTATTTAGTAATTATTTACCTAACTACTTCTCTTTATTACCAATGTAAGAGACATCAAAATCTCACAAGTAGGATTTATTACCATATAGCATTTCTTTTAATTTTGGGAAGGATAAAAGCCAATATTGAAAAGAATCCCCCACATAGTCAAAGCCAACCCCTGGGTATCTTTCACAATCAATTGCATTGTTTTGTTTATGGGTTTTTGTTAGGGTTGTTTTCTTTTTACACCTTCCACCTTTTTACCCCCCACGGGCCCCAATTATTGCTCTACAGAGAAGATTCTAGCAAATCTTAAACAGAAGAAAATAATATAATAACAAATATTTTAGCTGTTGTAAAGTAGATGAAAGGGCAAAGAATTACTTCATGCAAGGAAATGCACAAGATGCAAGCTGGAGGTGAAGGTGTCAGGTACAATGATCCAGAAGCAAGACATACAAAAATCCATCTGACAATAAACATAATCAACTCTTTCCTTCAATTAAATATAAATAATAACTATAAAACAACAGAAATTTTATGCCAGAAGAATGAAGTCAACATAATGTCACTCTCCATGAAGGCCCAGGAGTGAGGAACCCTTCTGTGGGAAAAACTGCAGCATTAGCACTCCCTGTGCTTAAAAGGGACACAGTGAGTAGAGAGAAGATCCACTTTACACAATAGTCAGCAGCAAGCATGCCCAAGGAAATCAATACCAATTCTGTCAGCACTGATTTCTGCAGAGCTTTACTCCAACATGTAGATACAAGGCAGGGCATAGGAAAGAACAGCAATGTTCTCGTGAGCAGTGCTGGGTAAGCGTAGAGATTGGTGGACATTGTCCCCAACAGATTTCAAAAAAAACCAACATACAGCAACATGGAGGAAACATTATTCCCAAAAGCAAGTCTGCAAGCACTTTCAAATCCCTTTCTTCCCAAGAGGGGAACAGCAAGGCCTTAGTCTTTTAAGTGTATTTAAAAGAGTGGAGTCACTTGAAAATGTATTAGTTCTGAATGTAGCGTTCTCTTAACTAGCTCCAGTTTCCAACAAAAAGCTTTTCTGTGCCAACCATAACATATTGGTGTATTGAGATGCATCCAAATGCACACACCAGTGTCCATGTTCAATAAGCTAGGAAGCAACCTTTCTTCCTATTAAAACATAAAAAATTATACAGGCACCTCAACCTTTTTTTTCAAATATTATTCAGTGCCTTCTTGTTAATTCCACATCTGAAATGGCACATAATCAATATCAACATAAGGTCATAGAACATGTATTAAATTTGGTGTCTAAAATTTCAAGAGAAATGCTATTCAATAGGTAGGAACTCCATTATAGCTACGTCCTTCAGTAATACCATACACATTGATTTGCTTTATTGTCTCTTCCCTACTTCTTTATATTCAAACAATTTTTATCTTCACTTTACCTTATACCCTGTAGGAAGAAATTAATTTTTTTGATGAAGATTTATAAAAATAGGATGAAATGAATTTAAAGGGTACTAAGTGATATTGTTTAGACTGGTTTATTTCTTTACAAAGTTATTCCCAAAACCAAAGTTTGTTCAATTCCATACAATTTCAAGGGAAAAAAAAAACCCAAACAAATTACTAGCTGCATCCATACAAAATGTAATACTAGATCTTGCCATAATAAATGAAGAACGCAGGTAGTGTTTGACAAAAAACAGAAACATTTACCATGGTCTTCACTGGCCATGCAGTGGCAGGAAATGAATGCTGCATTTATTAGGTAGTGCACAGCACGCTCAAAGCTAAGTAACTCATGCTGCAAGTTTAGAATTCCAAAAAAGCTCCCTATGCAGATACTTCTGCAGTCTAGAGCTATTTTGGAAGAAACATTTTGTTGATGGTGGTGTACCAAAAGTGAAGACACCAGAACCTATGCTGATTAATCAAGTCAACTTCACCTAATTCTCATTTGTTTTATCTACAGTTCCGTTTCTGAACCATTCTGAAATTCAAAATAATTAAGTTAACACAAGGGAAATTACATTCTTGTTTAATTACATATACTCCCTTAATTCCTAAAAATTGTGGTAGGGACCACCATTAAGTCTTGAATATCTACAGATTAAAACAAACACACAGTTTCACATCACATAGCACAGTTTTGAAAATTCTGCAGATGAGCCTCTTTTCACCCTACCTTGTCATGTTTCTGCTGGTGCCTTGCCCTGGTATCCAGGATATGGTAAGGGGTCTCAGAGTCTCTGTTGATGTAATAGATTAGTCTTGAAGGCAGTGTGATTTCTTTCTGGATTGGATTGCTGTAGCTGTTATTTTTACTGTTACTGCTGTTACTCTGTTGAAATGTACTCTCTTCATCTGCCAGTACTTCCTCTATACCACTTGCTGTTTCATTCCAGGGCAGGCCTGGGGAAGAAAGATATGCCAGCCATAAATTCCATGGCAGAATGTGTTTATTTCCATGAAAAAGCTACATATTTGCTTGCAGTTTTCTAACATTTTACTAATCACTCAAGCAAACAAAAAGATAGCTTACTCATTGAGCTAGATTTTCACACACAAAATGTTTTCAGAAAGAACATAATTTATTTAATTGCATTAATCTATATTTTCATATGCAGTCATAGATTATAAATATTTTAATACCTCTCCACCTTCAGGAGGAAAAAACCCTCAACTTAATGGATATGTAGTTACCCCCTACCTCCTCTTGCATAGCTGAATTCTTTCACCAAAAGAAAAAAACCTACAAAAAGCTAAGACTACTCTCAGTGTTGCTAACATATACTGAATTCAGAGTCCATGTGCACTGAATGCTAAACTTCCTATTATGTAAAGGGAATTGATTTCTACTTCTTTTAACTTTGACAAGAGCCCTTTTCTTCAGTAGCAGCTTTTGAAAAGAAATCCTGTATCTTTCTTCATTAAAATTTCAAGACAGTCAATCAAAGCAATGTAACAACATAACAATATTACAAGGTAAGGGCAATGTACCAGCAATAATAACACGATGCACAAACAGCCTGCATTCAGAGCATTCCACATGTCACCTACATGCAAGCAAGAGAAAATAAACAACAAAGCACACGCGAAAATCCGACCCCAAGCAGACAAATTAGCGGATCGCCGTAACACAGACAAAGCCCACCGGAGCTTTTTGCGTCGCATCCCTCACGGGCGTCTTTCCACGCACAGCATCCCAACCCAACACACTGCAGCACCGGCACCGCACGTACCTCTCTTTTGTGAAAGCAACCAAACCAGCGAAATCTTAACTGAGCCCCGGCTTTACACACGCTGACACAGACACGTACACAAAGCTGGGAGCGGGGAGGGAGGAAGGAATGGTTGAAGGGAAATGGATGTTGCCGGGGTTTATCGCGGGGGACGGCGACCGAGGGGCCGCAGACGCCTCAGGCACCCGCACCCCCGCCATACCCACCGGCGGCCGCTGCGGCCGCGCGGGCCCGGGGGCAGGAGGAGCCATGGAGGAGCAGGAGCAGCGAGACGAGGCGGCCGAGGAGCGGCAGGAGCGCGGGGTGGCGGCGGCCGCCGCAGCCAGGCTGCCGCAGGGAGTTGCTGCCGGGCGGCTTCATGGCTCATAGCGCCCCGGGGCGGGGGGGCAGCGCGGCACAGCCCTCACGGCCGGCGGGCTGTGCCCGGGGGGCGCGGGCGGAGCGGCGCGGGCTGGTCCCCGCAGCGGCACCGCCCGTGCGGCTCCTCCTGCCGCCGCCGCCGCCGCGAGGGACATCGGCGGGACGCGGCTCTCCCGGGCCGCCCGCGCCCCGCCGCTCCCGGGTGCCGCCGCCCGCTCTGCGGCCGAGAGTGAGGTGCTGCCTGCCGGCGGGGTGACCGCCGCCAGCTGCGCGCAGAGCTGCTCCGAGCCGGGGTCTCGCGGCTGAAGCGGCAGCTGGGAGCGGGTGCGCGACTGCCCGAGGCGTAGCGCGCAGCCCGCTCTCCTGACGTGCGCACAGCTGCAAACAGCTGGGTTTAGGAACTGTTTTAAAGAACTTTCACGCAGGGTGCAATTGCTTTGAAATCCATCAGCCCTGAGCAAAGTTCGGAAGAGGCTCCGGAGGCGCTGGGCAGCAGCAGGGGCAGCTTGCTCTCCTGAGAGCAGGGGCAGGCCGGGCTCCGCAGCCGGGCAGCTCTGCAGGGCGAGGCATTGCAGAGCAGGCATGCCCGCTGCTGCCGAGGGATGCATAAACAGCTCCGAGTGCTGTGCGGAGCTTCAGGCTTCCCCCTCTCCTCCCTCCCAGCTCTGTTCCTTGCATCCCTCCGGCGTTCTTTTTGGTCCTGGGCGCCGTTCATCCTTACTGCCTGCAGCTAGCTAACCCCTGCAATGAAGGGCGGTGGAGGGAGAACCAAATGCTAACAAAAAAAGGTGCACAGATAGTTCAAAGAAAATGGATATGTGTACAATAAAGCAAGAGGAGGACTGCAGGGAGGTTCATGGTCAGATTCTGACCTGGTGTAAGTCCACTCTGCGGTGCTGCCTTCAGCAGCAGCCTGGACCACAAACACAAGGACTGGTGCATTTCTGTGCAGTGAATAGTAGCTCTCATCTTCCAGTCCAGCATGCCTGGGCTGAACCACCAACATGAAGAATAGTTGCAAAGATAAAAATAACTTCAAAGAGATATGAGAAGATGAATCTGCTGTTTTGTATTCATACTGTGACTTTAGGAGTCAGAAAACCTGAGTTCAGAGGCAAGTTTAGATATGGATTTGTTAGCAAACATTTTGCCCAGCAGACTTCTAATACCCAAGAACAGATATGTTTTATTTTGATGCAAGTCTTGCTGCTGAGGAAATAAAGATGTTTCCTTTTTCTTTTTTGTTGGTTTTTGTTTTTTGTTTTGTTTTGGGTTTTTTTTCGGTCTGGATATAGCTTTTTATTTGTCAGTTAATGCCTTCTAAGCTGAGTCTGCATACCACATGGATTTCCAGAAAGATAGGTAGTGTTCTGTTTCACATAATTTTCTCTACATTCCAGCCTGAGTTCATTATCATTATTAATTTAGAAAGTATAAGCAGTTTTACAGATCATTACCATGCAGACTACTTTATAGCAGTAGTGTCATTCGTTTTTTAAACAATTAAATCTGAATTCTCATGCTGGTTAAATAGATATTGTTTGTGGAAACTCAAAATCTAGGTGTGTAGCAGCAGACAAACACTTTGAAAAGACAGATCCATGGTATTGCCGGGGTAAATAAAAATATAAAATGTGCCTTAGGATTTAACTGTTTTCTAGGTCTAATGAGAAACCTATACCCGTTTTCTACATAAAATGGTCTTCCTTAAATCTCACATTTCCAGCCATTTTCCATGCAGCCCACCCAGCCCAGATGTTCTTCATCATTAGATATCACTAGAATATTTCAAACAACAGCAGCTCACGTTTCTCCCCATAAACATATAAACAGAACAAAGGATCAGTTATGTCAGTGCTTCAAATCTAAAATAAATACAATTTACAAAAATATTTTACTAGCAAAGAGAAAAAAGTAGAATGACCATGCAATTTAAAAAAAATCCAGAAACTTTCACCACACACTAAAAACAAGTCTAGCAACAACGAATGCTGGAAACACTTGCTCTCTGAAACTATTAGGTTCTGAATTTGCTGGCCAGATTTTGAGGTATTTCCTTTTTGTACAAAGGTGGCCTAGGGCAAAGATTTTCTGAAGTTCTTTTAACTCATGTACAAGCCTCCAGCAGAAGTAATCACCTGAAGAACCATCTAGCTCTCCATGAACCATGCTTACTCTCCAAATCCCTGATGGACATGTAGCTCAAGCTGTGCCTCATAAACCTGCTAGAAACCTTCAGATGGTCATATGCAGTTCACAGAGCATAATCAGCTCAAGATGAAGTGTCCTACTACGAATGACAGCTGCCTTTTGTTGTTTGGTTTTGTTTTTTTTAACTTGCTTTCAACTTTGAAAGACACTGCGAAACAATCCCAGATATATTGCACTGCAGATGTCTGAAAACAAAACACCAGAAGCATGGATTATTGTAGCATCTGTATCCAGTGAAAGAAATTGAAACATCTAAGTCAGAAGCACACAGGAAGCAGCTGGCAGCTGGAGCGTCAAGACTGGCTGGGGAGCAAATGTGTACCATGCAAGGTATACACATACTTTCCATCAGGTGTTAAACAGACTTTACATCACAACTTCAGATGATTGCCCAGACTTTCCAATTCCTTCCTCCTTTTTCAGGGTGGGGGGCAGTGAGCACACAGGATGAAATTTTGTAGTGTCACAATTCAAATAAAAAAGGCTCCAGATGCAAAACTGCTGATTATAATCCTGTCTGTTCATATTGATGCTCAGGTGGAACATGTTGGTCCAGACCCTGTTAACCCAGCCATAAAGATAACAAACTTCCAACACAATCAAATGCCTTTTCTGATGTCACCTGAAAAAAGCCACCATATCACTTGTCCTGGGAAAATCTTCATATAAAATATGGGTTTAAAGAACTTGTTCCTTACAAGGCATAAATAATATTGATCTTTCTGAGTGAGCACAATAAGACAGTATCCTACTACGAAAAAAAAAATATTTCTAGATTTCAACAGTAGTTTCTTGTCTAATGTTTATTTCGAGAATCCATGTAACAAGTCCTGTAACAAATCAGCAAGTGGGATATTCCTGAATATTCCCCACAGAGAAAAACTGGTTTTCATTTTAATAGGAAGAGGAATATTTCTGTTGCAGATGGAATAGGAAGAAGACAAATTCAGGAGATGAAAACATGGGTGACTGATTTATCAAAAAGTCTTTTCAAGGATGCCATAAGAACAAATCAAATTTATAACAGTGATCATTAGAGAGGAGTAAAGCACTAGCACAGTCTGTCACTTCAGCAACAACAGGTGATTCCAGCTGGGCAGTTCCAGACTGACCCTGGCCAGTGAAAGGTATAAATGCCATGGAGTGCAGGCAGCACAAACAGCATGGCAGAAGCACCTATTGCTGAACTCTGCTCCCAGAGAAGGGCAGTAGTCAGGTCTGATTCTGATTTACTCACATTACTGCCACACTAGCAGGCTCAGCTAGGGTCCTGCTGTGCTCTGTGCTGTACACACAGGACAAAATGACAGATCCCTGTAAAAAGAAATTTCCTTTTTATTTGCAATAGCAAATAGCCCAGCCAATGCTGTAAATAACAGAAGAAATCTAACAGCTCTAGGAGGGGTACCAAGCATGCTGCAAGTCTAAAAAGTGGTAATTACATGGGGGACTTTGAACAATAGAACCTCATTAGCTGGCACAAGTAATGCACTAAACCTGTAATCTGCACGCAAAAGAGGGTGGTAGCCGTTCTCTATTTCTCAACAGGAGGTTAACAGAGAAGACAAAGCTGTACTGAAACTTCATGCCACCCATATTCCCTTACTTTGTATCATATGCAGTGTAAGTATGGATAATTTATACTGAGAAGAAACCTGGTAATTGCAATGAACAATGCATTGCATTAGCATAACTGGTTTTAATCATTCATATTTGAATACTCACCAATTCTTCACATTCAGCTATTCTTAAAGAGCTCCTCAGTAAGTAGAGTGAAAGAGAATATTGGCTGTTAGAATTTTTTGTAATTATATGACCATCTCTTGCTACACATCCCACCACCTAACAATGCAGCAGCAACACAGCATTTGGTTGGAAAAATCAATACTTTTCATTCATTCTCTTTATTTTAGCCTCTTTAAATACTTTCAAGTAACTGAGGAGGCAGGGAAGCATTAAGTGATACAGTAATGTGAGAAACACATATGACAGATTCAGGAAAGAGAGCACTGTCTCTAGGTTGTTCAGAAGCAGACATGACTTTCCAAACTGCAGATCTAACAGAAAAGGGTTTCCATTACCCTTCACTTTTCCATCTTTGTTTCAACCTCATACACTTTAGAGGAAGAGCTTTCTCCTGCTACTTCCTGGTTCAACAGAGCCCTAAACACAGTTTTCCCATCTATGTACAGTAGTGGAACTATGTACAATATTCAGCACAAAACTATTTTAAACACAGTAATACTATAGAATAAAATACAGTAAAAATGTCACTTTTCCCTCAGAACTGTCACTCATTTACTGAGATCTGTGTGCACATCTTCATTAAAAGCTCCACTCACCAGTGGTACTGCACAAATGAACTTTTTTGTGAGTACTGTATGTTCCAGCACTCCACAGTAGAATATACACAGTAATTAGGACATACTTGCCAGCCCTCTCCCCTTAACACTATGAAATATTAATGTTAAGGTCAAGTGAAGAAAGTAAAATGATAAAAGAATATATCTTACCAGTGTTCAGCAGGGAAGGCAAGGGAACACAGCTGTGCTGCTAATACCAAATGGGTCAGAGGGTTTATTAATTGCAGTTCAAATTGCATCCAGGTGAAACTTGAAATAAATCCTTTAATTCTGGATGCAGGAAAAATTATTTTGAATAAACGTGCTAGACTAATTTCAGAATTAATTCACTGTGTCCTCCTGTGTAATTAACTAAGCCTTCATAGCCAAAGGATTTTACAAGCTGTTTAGTAGGATTCCTCAGCAGCATTTAAGCAACTGCATGTAAGAAATTGTACACAAGACACCACAGTGAGAGTTTATGCCATCAATGGAAATATTCTCATACTAAAAACTCCAATTAATCACCACATTGTCCAAATTATT